CTAGTAATGGATTTTTATCGTGTACTTCAGTTGGTGCTATTATTCACAACGTGCAGTACGTGTTTTCGCGATCATTCGTCCACGCCTTCTCGAAAATACTAATTCTTTCCAATTTGCTCATATTAATATGAAATATGATACTGCATGTTGACTCGATAAGATCGTAACAGTTTGATTTCAAAAATTGTGTTTTCGTAACTCACGCCGTACGTGCTCGCGCTGCTACGAATTGACTCTGTTTTTACCCCAGACACGTACTGCATACAAAAAAAACCGCTAATGTGTAACGCATATCCAGGCACCAGACTGTTCCTCATTTGCATACGTGTTCAAAAATCTTGCACATGCAAATGATCCAATACCAGGGTGGGAGAGGACACTTGTGCTCTTAAGCAAGGCACTTAACCATTATTGCTTCGTCCTTCGGATGGGACGTTAAGCCGTAGGTCCCGTGTGTTGTATAAATGCACGTAAAAGAACCCAGTAAACACTTATCGCTAAGAGAAGGGGTTTGTCCCGGTGTTTCTGGCCTCCTGTATAAACTCCCACGTGGAGTATTTAGGAGAAGAACCAACCAAGAACCAAGAACCAAGAGAGCAGGTAGTGGTGGGCGCGTACTGCTCGACACCCTGGGGACGAGGTTGCACACGCGGTGTATACATTTTCTCACTGTACTGTACTGTATATGTACATGTACTGTACATGATTTGTTGTTATACGTGCATTGCTGTAGTTGTGTAGTGTGTACTCCAGTGTTGAATAAATAGTGCTCTCCAGTGCCGAGCCAAGAAATCGAGAATAAACCAGGTTATCACAGTTCATTACAAATTTGCGACGAGGATAGTTGATTACCATGGCTTTCTTGATCGGTAAAATCGAGGAATTTCGCGAAGGAAAGGAGGAATGGTTGCAGTACCGTACGTCGAGAGATTGGGACATTATTTTGTCGCCAACGATGTCACGACTGCAGCAAAGAAACAAGCCGTGCTTCTCACTGTGATTGGGCCTGACACCTACAAGTTGCTTCGCAATCCCGTGGCCCCCTCTAAACCCGGAGAAAAATCGTATGACGAACAGGTCAAATGTATGACTCAACACCACAACCCAGTACCGTCGGAAATCGTCCAATTAAATCGTCGGATTATCGTGAAGAGGGTGAGTCTGTAGCCCAATATATCGTTCTCTCGCAGAATTTTGTAACTATATGGAGGCACATTGGACGATATGGTGCGGGATCGATTAGTTTGCGGTGTTCGAAATGACCGCATTCAACGTAGCCTTCGTCTTGCTGAAAAAAACTCTGACACTTGAGAAAGCATTGGCAACGGCTTTGAGCATGGAGAGAGCGGCCAAAAATGTGAAAGATTTGCAGGCCACGCAAACCCACAGTGACCGAACATTGAACAAACTGTCGCAAAGCAAACCAACGGTTGCACGAAAACCTGTATTCAGTACAAGTAAGAAGCAACAGCATGTGCAGAAACCCTGTTATTTTTATAATATCTCACCCTGTAACTAAGGGAATAAAATAATGTGTGTTTGGGAGGTATTATAACACTCTGTTTAAGACCGGTTTGAGTCTGGATGGGTGATGCCGAGGGTAATTATTGCCCATCCAGACTCAAACCGGTCTTAAACAGAGTGTTTAATACCAACCAAACACATATTTATTCCCATTCATAAATACCTTTTCGGTCGTTGCCAACCATTAATTTTTGTTCAACAATTTTACATCATGTTTTACGAAACACCCCTCTGACTAGAATATGGAATGCCCCTCCACAACTCGTTACCTAAAAGGGACATTGGTGTACGCGTCGCGCGTACTACGCGATGTCGCGCAAAACGCAGCTGGGCTGGTGAAGTGTGAATTTCGGACCATGAAAATGATTAACTGGTAGTACATTGCGCATGCATACGGGAGGAATTTGAACGTTCAACCAATGAAACGTTAAAAGGCACCGGATTCCATAGGAGTCCAACTTTCATGTGACACTATGAATTAGTGTTAATAATACATTTCGTGTAATTGTAGGTGATTTAGCAGATGTTTGTTAAATCGAGCAGAATTTTGAAATGCATTCAGCAGAATCTTGTGATTTTCATCTGACCCACCGTGAAAAGCCGGAAAATTGCCTGTTTTCAGTCGACCACTTTCCTTGCTATCTAGTATCCACTTAGATCTGTATCATGCCAAATTTATGAAACTGAAGAGATTGTGCTTTGTATGACCTCAATTTCCCATGTCCGGCCCGGACAAGTTATCTTTTTAAAGAACAAGTTGAAAGGAATGGATTCATTTTGTTATTCAGGTTTTTTTTTTAATATATAGGTTTTCCCGGATGAAATATGAATTAACAATGGAGCTCAACGAAGTTCTGGAACGAAATTAAAGTATCTCTCCAAGGAGTTCAAACGATACAAGTGTTAATAAATTAACTGGCAAAACCTATATAGGCTACACGAATAGTGTTTTCTCGTGTTTGAGGAATGAATAAAACTATGCGTCTTTATTTTTTCTGCTTTCTTCAAATCGGGTTCTTTCCAGTTGTGTTCCAGGTGTTTGTCTTTTCTCCTTTAATAAAATTACCCTTTCTTATTCCTCCAAGATCGGTTTAGGCGTTAACAATAGAAAACGAAGAAAGTGGGGCAGACACTTCAAAACAGTGTCATAGGCACGCCCTATTTTAGTCTGGGAAACATGAGCCGGCCTTGCGTCCGCGCCCTTTCATCTCCGGCGGGGCCATGTACCGGGCACGAGCCCATATTGGTTGGGTCGGCGTTGCCGATACGTATACCCTGGGCCAGCTCTAGGGTGTTAAACAGGCGCAGGCTATGACACCCTCTCATGCAAAGAGCGAATCTCAGGTATCAACAAGTACCTCGCCACCCTAGAAAACCAAAATCCTTCCTTTTTTTTAGTGATCGCTCTTTGTTTTCCAGTGTGTAGGTCAGCTATCAAATTTCATCTCGAAACATGTTCAAACATTTCATACGGCCTATGTGCGTGACGACTTTTTGTTGACGTTTATAGCGTCACTTTTCCCCCGTGTTCGTTTGTTTACTTTAGACGTCAGTCGTTGGAGTCCCATGAGTGTTAAACTAATTACTAAATTTGATATCTCCCCTCTGGCAAAGAAATAGCAGTCGATCGTGAGAAGCTACGGGAGGTCATAGTAGACGTTTGCAAACATGAAACGAATTTTGCATTGTGGACAAATTGGCGAATGCTCACTGCAGCCCTCGAAAACGAGTTTGACTTATTGGCTTGAGAAAGTAAAGATATACAATGTACATACAACACAGAAATATTCTTTTGACAACACGAAACATGTTATTTATTTAGGTGATGAATACACAACGGATTGGGATGTTTTCTCACGAGTGCTTGGTATACATGTAACGAGCCAAGAGCCCTTGACAATCACCCTCGAGGATTGATACGATGGGGTTATACCAACTCCTAGGGCCGGCTCGGCTGTAAGCCAAATGGTTGCATTGGAGCATATGGGAACTTAACATATTTCGAAACCATCTGACGGGCAATCAGTGCACATACAGGGAAGCTATGTCCTCTGATAACGATCAAACATTGCAACATTTTATGTTCTTTATAATTTATTGCCTTGCTCAGGATTGTGAATGTATTACGGAAGCCTTGTGTTTAAGAAAAAAAGCGAGAGAAACAAATCAGTGACTACTAATTAGGCGTACTCCTAAACAATGTTTTGGTAGATTGACTTTGAAACATCCAAATTTAACGTTGTATTATAGGGTCAACTGGGTGCAACCGCCATTGGAAATCATTTAAAATAACTAAGAGGATAAAGGATTAAAAAATCAGCAATCAACGGAAATTTGATTTTCAGGCTTGTTTTCCATTGCTACAAGATTTCCAGTTAGGTGGTTTTTTTTAGACCTAGAGAATCCAGCAGTATTTGACTGTGTTGTTTATAAGACTACACAACCGTCCATAGTCTCTGCAAAATAATACAGATAGCCAGGTGAAATACAAGCAAAAGATTCTTTGGTGTTTGAAACATGCCCCAGTTTCCCTCCTTCCCCCCACATTGTCGCTGTCTGTATCTCATTCTGGGAGTGAATTTAGCAAGATGGTTGCTCCCATTCTGGCAGGGGTTCGAGTCCCGCCAGAGACCATGGCGTTCGATCCCTATATAATATCCGTGCATGGGCTTTACTGTCGAGTATATACATGATGTTTTTTGTCCCTCCTGTCTCTTAACAATGCCGGATCCTGCAAGGTTTTTTCGGGGGATGTTCCTGATGTGCTCAAGTCAAAATCGAATGCCAAAGGTCTTAAGCATTGTATGTAGTGAGCTAGATTTTGCAACATCGTATGGTGACATAACTACTACATGTAAATACTACTACTACACATCTGGACGCGCCGTGATTGAACGCGACGAAACGGCTTCCGTACACCCTAGCTTGCCGTGTTTCATAAAATAGTTGTCTACCCGACCACTCTGCGTTTGTAACAACAAACGCCAAGCTCTAGTTAACATTATAATTGCATCTCTCAGAGGGCAGGAAAACTAATACTGCAATGTTTCGCCTTGCGATTGCTACGACCGACTTTGAATGAAACAAGTTCAAATTACCGTTGCACAGACATTTTGATGTTCGCGGGCAAAAATCTTATGAAAAAAACCTATTATGAACAAAAATCTAATGCACAAAAATCCCCTGAATCGCTGTCGGACCGCAAATAATGCGACACTTTAGTGATGTTTTCTATAAGCAGGGCATAGAGACTGGCAGATCTTTTTAATTGCTCGATGTCTCTTTCCAAAAAGTGATTTTCTTTTTCAGCTGATGGCTGGTGAAAGCCACTAACTCAGAGAGACTGACCACTAACACAGAGGAGTCGATAGTCTTAGGGACTGTCGGGCGTGATTCAATGTCGATGAGGTGTTCCACTTTACCATAATTATGTCTCAGTCATCAGAGAAACATAAAAGTGTGAGCCTTAAACCTACCTGATGCTGGATGACAAACGAGTAGCAGACACAGAACGAACGGAGCGACGAGACTTGTCTTCGGTTCCATCCTGAAGCCTAATTGTGGAGTGGACTTGGCTTCACGGTGCGCTACTTTTATATCCACTCTGGGGATCGACTGCGCCCCTTGCGTGATATTTTCTAGGCTAATTAATTTATTTTGGCATGTAGTGTGGCATTGTTCAGTTCGGTGGACGTTGATTTTCACGCGCAATCTTTTGAAGAAAATTTATGCAGCATAATTCCACAAATAGCGTGACGTCATGGGAACCGTGACCAATCACAGAAGAGGAGGGGAACTGCGGTGCTCCGGGTTCCTTCTTCGCGGGCCGGGACGAGCAGCCGGCCACGGCTTGGACGTGTATATACCTTGCCGTAACTCACGGCCCTGGGACCTGTCCTACCCGCTCGTATAACGGCTCTTGTCAAGGGTCGCTCCAAGGGATATTCTGACCGAACGTTACCTTACCAACCACTTACGACCGGGCGGTGTGCGCATAAATCTGTTCTGTGCAAACATCTTTTATCAGAAATTGAGATTTAGAGTCACTAGAGCTTTGTTTTGGAATCCATTCGAGCTAACCCCAAGACTTTCACAATGAAGATTGCTAAGATCATTGCCGTCATCGATCATCTGGCTCATGGTATCCTTACTTAAGTCAGATACTGAGGATGCTCAATCCTCTCCAGTGACCTCTATCCCACCAGGTCATCTCAAGCCCCTGGCTTCCGAGGCTACCTATCTCCCCGTCTCAGTGACTTCCCTTCGTCTTACAAGCTCTTCCGTAGTTATAAAAGTTTTTTTGTACTTTTTTCTCCACTTTTCAGTGCTACTGAATACATTTTGGTTGTTGGGATGTTCGAAAAACACCTCAAAATCTGCATTTTTTTTTTCGCATCACGAAAAAGTGGAGGGGGGTATGATTTATTAGCCCCCTCCCCGTGATTTACGCTCCAGTACATGTATATAGCAGCCATTTGCTGTGTTTTGTTCTGTACGATTTTCGTATTATGTTGTGCGGCCCAAGAGGGAAGCTTAGATTCGTCACATGTCTGTTGACAATGACAACTTGAATCAACTATATTGGAGTCGTAAACAGATGCAGAATGTTATGTAGACTGTGACTCCGGTGTTTTTGGTGTTTTCAGGAAAGATGTGCTGATCCCGCCATCTTTGCACTGTACTAATGTCACTGAAAGTTTGTTGGAAACGGTAAGTATGAAGACTGGTACATAAAAAGAAGTTCCGGTGCTGTGCCAATTCAGGCGCGGATGGGGGGGGAGGAATTCAACCCCCAGTTGTGTCAACATTTTTTGTTCATAGAAATTCATGAAAAATAATGCAACACCCACCACCCGCTCGGACACCCCAAAAATTATACTAGTAATAATGTCCGCCTGTGCACAAAATACAGACAGAGCCAACTTGGTTAGGGGGTATTTTTCTACTACCGGTATTCTGTAATTAATAACCGTCGAATTTGAATAGCGCCCCCATTGAAAGTATGGTCTGAGCACCAAAATTATTGGACCCCGGTCTTGTCCCCATGTCATATTTCACAAAACAAAAATGCGGAGACTTTGTGAGCCTTCAACTGAATAAAATGAACATCCATTTTCTACAAGGAAACAGTCATTTTGCCGGATATTTGGCAGGGACCTCCAAACACCAACGAGATTTGGCAGGGACCTCCAAATACTAACGAGAGGGAAAGTCCCGAAGCCATCCCAAAAAGATCGGTCAATAAACTAACGGTTTGGACGCGTGTCAATAAATGCAGAAAAAGAAGGAAAGAAGAAAAGAAAAAAATGAACCTTGAAGACATTGACTTTCCGCAGGCCCGACTCGTTCCCATCCGATTGGCAATTGTATGCAAATTGAAGAATCACTCCGGGAGAAGAATCACATCCGCGTGAGTACGTGCCGGACATTCACATATGCTACTGTCTTTACCCAGTTCTACTTTCACTGTTTTGAGAAAACACTGGATACATTAATGTCTAATGTGAAACTACATCTGAGTGTATAAGTGTATATAGGGAACGTTCCTCAAAACCGGCCATTATGCAAACTACGCATTATGTGCCCATTTTCAGGGCGCATTGTGAAGCTTTTGGGGCATATTCATATTCCTCGTTCATATCAAAACTATCTTTACCATTTTGGGAAATGGTTACTCAAAACAAATTGTCAGAAACTTTTAGGTCATGTTTTTCTTTCATCTCGAGGGAGCAAACTTATGCTCGAGGGGGGCACATTTATGTCCACAAAAGGGGCACTAGGGTAAATCTGAGGGGGGGGGGTGCCCCCAGGCCGCCCCCTCCCCCGTTCCACCGCCCCTGCAACAAGGTACTCCGTTCTCTCTGAGTAAACCTACGCTAGCCTCACACTTTGTTAGCGGTCGGCTGACTAGAAGAATTCGCTGGGCCGGCTACCTCCAAGCACGGAGGGTTCGTCGGCAAATTTGTCAACCCTCCTCTCACGTCTTTCCTCCCTTGACCCTGGACAAGCGCAATTTTCAATTTTGTTTATATTGTTGTCATGTTCTGCTAAACGTGCGAGATTTGATGTGTGTTAATTTATACTATAAAATTGTCTGAGTTCTTATCATCCGCGGAAAGATTTTGATTTTATATATGCAACCCGGTGTATATGAGGCAATTTATATGCAACACAGTGCATATGAAGTAAAAAGCCATTTTTGTGGCCCTTTTTTATAATTATTTTGTTCATTTCGGTATTAACAAATATTTAACATGCACATTAGCTAACTCTACTAAAAAAAAACACACAAAAATAACTGAAGATTTGAGAACGGACGAGGCCATAGATCATTCCAGTAGCTCCGCAGAATCAAAAACAAAAACAAAGCACCAAAAAAGGAAAATTACTTTAAGAAAAGGGGACACATCACGCCAGGAGAAAAGGCTGATCTAGATCAGTGAAATTACAGTATCTAAGACACGTTATTAACCTTTAATATAGATCGATGTAGCAGACTGATCATTATGGAAACTAACACTGATCAATATAAATACCGTTGACCTTATGCAATATTTTAACGCCGGCCGGATTGACAACAAAATCACCGCATAATGATTTGACCCTATACCGAGGTCATCATTATTGCAAATGGCAGTGTCGCACCCGGGGGGGGGGCGTTCGGGGGGCTTTAGCCACCCCCAAGAGGTTGTCATTATTTTTTTAGTCCCTCGATTTGGCCTTGGTGATATGAATGTGGCCTGTTTTCGAGTAGTATAATAGGGGTGTAAGTGGCACCTCAAAAATTTTACTTCTAAAAAATGTGTAAAAAAAAAAAAAACCATTGCAAAATGGCTCATGCACTGTGTATCGTGAAATACCAACATTTAGCCAAACATGTACGTCTCTGAGCGAAAGAGGGCGCTATTTTCCTTTAAAATGTCTTGGCACGCTGCCGACGATTGTTTTCTCTGATGCTCTATTTGATTGGATGAAAGTTCGATGTCAATAGAGGGCGCTATTCATTGATAAGCGCCTACTTGAGAGTATCGCATGGATAGGAAATAAAGCTATGGAGAAAGGAGGCCTTATGGCAAGGTTAAGAAAGGGCAACTTGAAGAAAAAAAATAATAATCGGCGGGGAGCTGTATACCAGGGAGGATCATCAGGAACGTGGGTGATGGCTGGGTGAGCAGATAACGTGAGGAAAGGGCAATGGGTTGAGAAGAGAAGACGAATTATTTGAAATAGAATTGGGGGGCTGAGGCAAGGGATTAGGGGCAACGGGGTCGGGCGGGCAAAAAAGGGGGTTGGGTGGGATGATGAGGGGCGGGGCAAGAGAGGCTGAGTTGAGGGGGTGAGTTCTGGGGAAATGTAACAAGTTCTTTAACCCTAAAGGGGCCGGGGCGGAATCCGTCCCCCCCCCCCCCACTCTTTCCGCGATATGTTTTTTAGCCGCGAGCCTTGCGCATCTTTTAATACCCAAAACATAAAAATCGGACAAACATTTTTTCCCCATATACGTAGAGTACACAGAGTAGAATTACCATTCATGCATATGGATAATTAATAGGCCATAATTCCAAAACCCTTTGACCTCATGAAATTTCTTGGGTATGTTCATGATAAGTTGTTCTATGCATGTACCGATTTTCAAAATTGTTCGTCACTCGATGGCCGAGATCTTAGGGAGAGGGGCGGAATGAAAGATCCAAGCTTTATGCAATGACAAGTTGAGAGCCTGAGCTTAGCTGCCTATTTGAAATTTGTCACAAAAGAAACACTGAAACTGAATGTAACTGTTCATTCTAAAATTGTTATTGTTCGCCTTCAGTATTGACTATTAACGTTTAATTAACGAAAGATTATTTACATGTACATTTCTAATTGTTTCAGTACGCTACTCTGTACGTTAGTGTCATCTTTGTGCCCGAATGACAGACTGACTCACTAACAACTCACTCACGAGTGACTTAGCCCAGTTGTTGGTAGTTGAAGATAGCCGGGCAGTTTAATCGTATTAGGTAGCCATTATGGGCTAATTTGGCCGATTGTTTACACCAGATGTATGGAATGACTTTCAGTGAATAGCCATTCTAAATCTGTTAAATATAATTTTGTGTGCTATGTGATCTTTTTTGTACTCTTGTCTTTTTTATTTTCATGTATATGTTTCCCCACGACCATCACTGGATGAACGATGGGACGGGAAGGCTTCAACATTCTACCACAACGAAATCCTATCGTCAAGGTTCAGTAGGGCCAATTTCGAAACCCAAAGCACTGGAAACCAAGCCATCGGAAAGTCTCTTTAACCATTCCCGTTATACGGGTCACACCTTTCGGCCTTCATTGCAGCTCGTCTCAGACAAAACAATCGCTCGTAAAAAAAAATAATCAAAATCCCAAAACGAGATAAGAATCGTTTTTATTACACATAACAAGTGTTATAACGTGAGAATGTTTTACCTTGTGCCCAAATTTATTTTAAAGCATAACTGAACAGGGGAAAAGGTGCAAAAAACCTGTTCTTGTAAGTTTTTAAGTGTTTACTATCCGTACCCTTTTCTATAAGCTCCGACTCCAGCGCGTGTAATCTAATGTACATGTACTGCTAACCTGGTCAATAGCCTATTTGTTTCGGGAAATAGACATTTGATGAGAACAGTGTATGTTTGTTTTTTTAAATGGGTACAAAATAGCCAAAAGGCATCGGCAAACATGCCAGGAAAATTTGACAGAATTAATACAATGCGTTGCAATAATATAAGCAAAAATATGCTTGGAGGGGTGGTAGCCCCGCCCCCTCCAAGCTATTCGCGCCGCTCTTAAGTTGATTTTCTTCAAGCATTAAAGCATTTATAAAAACCGGTTTTACATTTTTCTATATCGTGGTGTTGCAACTGTATCAGCGAAAAGGAATGGGGGGGTTATGGCCACGCCCCCTCCTATACAGGTTTTTCATGTCTGGCGGGCACGTTCCACCACTGAAAATGTCTGGCACTGGCCATTCATGATACCTGGGACTGGGCCCAACATTTTCCAGTAGGTTTCATTGGGTTAACTCACCAGCTGATCTAGCTCAATTTTGTGGCCCCTTTCTCATGGCCCTCCTGACCATACCCACCACAGTGTGCCCGGCAGACGTCCATTTCCATACATTGGTATGCATGTGGAACATTGCTGCATACATGAAAATTGGTTAACTTTCGAGCTAGGCTGACCCCCCCCCCCCCCCCGGGCTCCCGGTCTAAATGCTTTGCACGATCCGTGTACACACTGTAAATGTATCCTGATGCTTTCGCTCGTACCTCCCGCCCTGCAAACAAATGAAATGAATTCACGCTCTGATTGGTTGGATTTTGCGTGACAAGTGATCTGCGCGTCATCAAGGTCATGACTCTGCAAGGTTTGAAACTGCCGTTATACTGATTCATTTCTATTTTATTCCAGTTTAGAGATGTTTTTCTCGTTGAAAAGCGTAATAATGTGGGAAATTCTGTAAAACTTATTTGTGTTGTAAATTTACAATTCCCGTCACTTGCTCAGGATCCGTTTTAATCACGAACGGTCGGATTGCATTATATGACGTTCAAAATTTTGTCCACATGGTCCGCAATGAAACAGAAATCACATCCGGTATGGAAAGTGCACATTTTTATGGGAAGTTTTCGGATAGTATTTGCGCACATAGTCCAACTTCGGTCTTGAACAGCTAGCTGCAGCCAGATGCTTTATACATAGGTCATAGGCCACTTCCTTCACAAGATTTTGTGAAGCTCATCAGAGTATCCAAGCGTCCTGTTTGCAGGGCGGGGGTACGAGCGAACCTGATGATAACAATGTTTTGTATAGCGCCCTCTGTTGAAGTACAGATTAACAAATCGTACAAAGAAAACAGAGAACAGAACAGGACAGACAAAACAAAACCGAACAAAAACGAACCAACGGACTTGGATGTATTGAAACCTAGAAAACTGGAATACTTGAAAATCACAGAATCATTCAAATCACTTATGTGCTTTTCAAGTTACGGAACACAACCACCGTTTTAAAGTTCTGTGCGCTTGTCCCCCTTCCCCCGGAAAGCGGGGGCAAAAACAAGGAAAAGAGGTGCGAAGCCATATTGCTGTTAATTTGATGGGGGGAGCAAATGCTCCCCTGAATCAACATGTCATCTTTCATTTTATTTTCATTTTTTTGGTGGGTTGACCATTGACTTTTCGAGATATTCTCACCCAAAGAAGACGACCCCTATTTTCCCCAAAGCGGAACGGTATATCCATCTTGAAAAACGATCCCTCCACAACATGGCAAAATAGCGCTACTTCCGAGCCCAATTGTATCCAACATACCTCAAAATTGAAAGCCCCAAGTCCGGGCAATCAGGTGCATTGCCATATCTCTTCAATTCCCCAATTAAATGGCTGTCAGATCTCTAATATGTTTTGTAGGGTATAACTTTTATTCATGAGTTCGGCGGATGGATTTAGGCCTATGTGTGCACCCATAAAGACTTGCCAGTTTTGTCCACAGGGAGCTATCACAGCAAAATATTGTTCGCCAGAAAATCAATCTGGAGGTTCACACGGACCTTTATTTCATCAAATACATATTCAACATTGGGTTGGTCGCTCCTCCCCTCCCCCACTGGAAATATGGCAACCAGAGAAAAGCACAGTCCTATAATTACCATGATTAGGTGGTTTAACAGAAGGTGCCTTGTTGTCAACTTTTGTGGGTGTTTTTTTTTACGAAAACCCTGTTTTTCGCGCTCGGCCGTTTTATTCTACTCCCGTGGAAAGCGAATAGCGCCACCTATTGTCTGACATTGACCATGGTGGTTTTGAACAGCGACCCCCCCCCCCCCTTTCAATTTTTGATTTGATGGAGGCCAGATGCCCGGTGAAAAAAACGTGTCTATGCCTTTCAGCACGGATGAAATTGGGCGCCCCTCCACTATAACCCGTCCCCCAAAACGATGAGAATGCTGGCTGCGCCGCTAGCTGCTAGATGCTGATGTTTTAAGACATAGGCTGCTTTATGTTTAAAACAAGTCTATGAATAATAGGCCAGAGTACTTGGAGTATATTGTGATATTATAATTCTGTACTGTGATGGCCTGCTTTTATGTATACTTTTGATGCTTACTACTGATGAACACGTACATAATGTTAGCAGCATGTATGTACTGCATTTTTGCCCATGATCTCGCAAAGCCACTTATAGCCTATTTGTGATTTAGTGTTTCAACTTCCAATGGCTCCTCTGACTTTATTTAACCAGAGAGCGCCCTCTACTGAAATAGCAACAAGCCGGGCAGTCTTCTTATTATTAAAGGGGCACTATGTCCTGAAATGTGACCCCGAAAGTCGTTCTCGCACGCATATACAGGAATAACACAAAACGCCCAGTTTTTAAATGATGGTCGTGTGGATGTCTATATCCTACTTTTGAATGTCCTTTCAGATTAACATCATTTCGTTCAAATTTCCTTTTTGTAGCCCAATTGGGCTGTTCCAGGACGCAGCGACCCTAAGCCTGATGCCGACACTGCAGAAGATTCTAAATGTCGTGTTTGGTTCCTCGACTGAATCCACGTTTATTATAAAAAATAATGACATAACAACAGGTGGCTGTACCAGTGTATGATACACTTCTCATAGAGCTATAGCGGTCCATTTATACGTAATAGAGGCAAATGACGGTGTGATGAATTCGGCTGTGATATTGCATTTCAGTATTACAAACACATAAGGCTGTCCTTGCAGTTATTAATATATAGTATTATGAGAAAGTTCCATATGCTACTGTATAAGGCTGGCGCTTATCATGATAATAAGCGGTTTTATGGTATTACTGATAGCTGATATTGGGGACAAATGGTGGACGTAAAAGACACACGCCCTAAAAACGTACGGGAACGGGACGGTGTGTGAAATAAGTTTGAGATGATATAAACGCTGATTACGCGTTAGTTCTGTGGGGCTTTTAAGCTCTGAGGGTGCATCCCCCGGTTTGTGAGTCTGTCAAACATTGAGGGTTCATTTGTTTTTCATTTCAAAGCTAAGTCATAATTGAGCTTTTTGCCAACTCGCTCATGTTGTTGAGCTCATTCCTGCATCATGAGAATTAAAACCTGTCTGGCCATATGCATATTATTATGTCTGTGTGTCATCATTAATGTCGCCAATGGTGGTAAGTTTTCTTCTTTATTGCATGAATTCACGTGAAGTCGCAGAGAACTAAACTTCAAGGAAACATATGGAACAGAGAATTGTAGACCGAAGACTGCCATTGTTTTCGTAATTATTTTATACATTCGGATGGGATGAAGCTACCGCTCCAAAGATTTCGGCTGTCTCATGAAAGATTTTTTGCAGATTTGATATGTATACAATGAAAACATCATATGAACTAATTTTCAAAGTTTAGTCCATCGGGCAGAGGGTTTTGTAATTCTCGTCATAAATAATTCATATATCACCGTCGGTTTTTCAAGCACCCTTGTGTGCGAGGGAAAGACTTTCATTTAAGGCCATCGATAGCCTGCGTTTTATCATAGAGCTAGGACCCATAGTTCGATCAACCCATCAACCATGCCCAAAAGACTTTGAGAGTCAACGCGGAAACAGTGCGTCGCGGTCGTATTGGGAAAAGTACAGGAGTGAATTCTGCCCCTTGAAAGATGCTTAAATATGGCATATGCACTGCCTATACTTTTTGACGCTGGGTGATTAAAGATTAGATTATAGAATTGGAGAAGACTAGCCAGAGGCGCGGCACATTAATTGGGATCCACTATGCAGTGGGTACTCTTGGGGTGTCATTCTGAGAAGGGGGCTGTCAATGCTAGTAGGGGGGGGGCAATGTATAGATTTGGGTTCCCGTGGAAATTTCATGTTAATTCATGGCAATCATTATAAATGCATTCTTATTAGTCCTGAGAGCAAGAAAATTGCTGTTGCCATTTTTTCCATTGACCTTTAGTGACCTTGACCTGAGGTCAAAGTTCATGGGTCATTTTCACCTAAAATTTCACCTTTAAAATTGTTAAGGCAAGTGAGCATATATTGTGAGTTTCTCCATTATAATAAATATCATTATTAACGTATTTATGGGTTTTGCAGAAAAAACATGGGAAATGTCATATTTACCCTAAAAGGACTGGGTTATTTTGACCATCTCACACGAATTCCGCCCCCCCCCCCTATTATCTCGGCCATCGAGTGACAACAAATTATGAAACTCTGTACATGCATGAGACAACTTACCATGAATATACCCAAGAAATTTCATGACTATAGGTCAAAGGATTTTGGAATTATGGCTAATTAATTATTTATATACACGAATGGTAATTCTGCTTTGTGTTCACTACGTATGGGGAAATTCAGTTTTCACTCCGCGTACCGCCGAACTTGAATTTTTCGCTGCGCGGCAACCCGTGCGTGCCTAAGGCCAAAAAAAAGTCTCCGGTTTCTGGTATGCGCGCGCGTTGCCGTAGCCATGCGCGTCGGCAAAATGAAAAAGTTTTTTTTCAATGAAAGATGATGTCTCAAAACCGCCAAACTCACTGTTTTTTTTGACTGGAATTCTGCTGCTGCGCAATTTGAACGTGTTTTTAGATGGGGTTATGATCGAGAATAAGCTTTATGTGGCCTCTCTGGACTCCCATATATTGCATTAAGTTTAGTCGGGCACCATTAATTTTGCAGTCATCAGCCGACATTTGAAGCAAAAAAGTCGGATAAAAAAAAAAAGCCGCGTCGCCGCACCACTTTTTGGACAAGCTCCATACCAGAAACTGGAGACTTTTTTTTTTGGCCTAATAACAAAAAGGCTTATTTTTGCCTTCCTCAAATTCTGAGGTTAGGGCACACGGCCGGGAAGGGAGTACAGCACCCCACCCCTGTAGTAGTATATACTACTGAAATTGGCCCTGTAGGTGTTTGGTGCGTGTAAAAGTGAGGTGGGCGTTATAATGTTACTGGCGTGAATGTCATTGCCATTATCGCCAGCGTTGTGACACGACCCTTCTTCCCCCATGCATGTCTAGGCTCCGCATGCAGTGATGTAACCTACGTCACCAGGGACGAATGGAACGCCAGGGACCCTAAGGCTCGCGTTGACATGGTCAACCCCCTGGGCTTCGCCGTGGTGCATCACACGGCCGGCTCGGAGTGCACCACGCCGGACGACTGCGCACAAGAGGTCCGGAACATGCAGAATTATCACATGGATGGACACGGTAATAACTGACGGGGGACTTTTCCCATGGAGGCCCTAAGAAAAAAAATACTTAGCAGAATACATTAAATAAACCAAACTTTTAATTTTAAACAGTTTAGATTTTTGCCTGTGGCTGCTCTCTACTGATTTGTGCTTAACGCGCGAAAAAAGTAGGCGTATTAAACTAATGCACCTCTGTGAAAAGTCTGTCACGAGCCAATATACAAGGCCCATTGGGCAGGCGTTTATCTCCTGTTTCCCTGGCATGAAACGATAGAGAATAATTTCAACTTCCCCTGGATGGGATGCCAGTCCGTCGCAGGCTTCTCCCCAACTATTATATTGCCGCTACCCATTTATACACTCCTGTGTTGAGAGAGGCAAGTGGGGGTGAAGTGGCTTGCCCAGGAACACAACAGCTGGATTTAAACCCCAGGCCTCTGATCATGAGTCACAAACCCTAATCACTAGGCCGCACAACCCCCCCCCCCCCCCATGAAATGTGTTTCAAGTTTGTTTCATGCTATTATAATTCATGTACAGGTTGTCCCACAAACAGAACCATAACAGTCGAAAACCAGTTAATAAAGGTATATTGCATGTGGGGTTTGGAATATTTTCAAATTACCTCTTAAAGTCAGATAACCAATCTACCATACAAACTTTCTTCCATTCAAAAAGATGCATTGGAACAAAACACCATGCTTCATCGAACTCAAGGGTTGAAAATCGGTTTGGGCCATTTTCCTTGAAAGTGAGAAAGTGCAGTTAGAGAAACAAACAAACGGTTTATTTCCTTTGCTCAAAAGTTACGTTATTCAAGGCTTCCATCTGTAAACTTGACAAATAAAAAAGTGACCCAAGTGGTCTTTCAAGTACCGTGTTGTGAATCCTGTATCTTTTGAACAAAACATCCTACTGAAACCAACTAAAAAGCATTTGGAAGACCAATTATTTCTACTCAGCAACATATTCGACACGATTTTGAATACTATCTTGTGGGACAACCTATATGACTACAAACTGTGGGTTAACATAACATACGTTTTGCATAATAATGGTGTCTGATTGGTGTCATTTCCAGGATGGGATGATATCGGTTACAACCTTGTGATTGGTGGGGACGAGAGGGTCTACATAGGGCGCGGCTGGGACACCGTAGGTGCCCACGCTGGTTCCACGTTCTTCAACCAAAACTCCGTGGGCATCACGATCATCGGAGACTACACCAACAAACTGGTAATATGACCATTCAGAATTTTAACTATTATCAAATTCATAATTTTACACCCATGATATCCTTTACATGGATATTCATTAAACTATTGTTATAACGTGCAGATTATGTCCACTTTTGCTGCAGATTCGTAACGAATCTAAAGTAAACTGAAGATTCGTAACGGATTCGTAACTACCATGGATTTCGGATTTGTGTAAATTTACTATTATTGTACCGCGGAAATGAGGTAAAATGGAAAACAAACTGAATTGCAATACTGTTCGGAACTAGTACCATACTGTATCACTTGATGAGCTAGAAGATTCGAAGGTATTTTGTATCAAGAAAAATCCAGAACTGTGGCAATCAGACTTGACTTACTAAGTTGACTTGCTTTTGGCAGTGAGACATGAACCTAGCTTTACTGACGCCTTCCATTTTTGGTAAGCAAATTTGAGATTTGAAGTGTGCATGCAGATTGGAATAGTGTCTGTAAGGATAAGAGTTAGCCGAATCTGCGATCTGCAATTTGTTTCATGTAATCTGGAGAGAAAAAATGGAAACATAGTTCTCTCCAACTTCAAGAATAATTAATTTTATAAAACATGTTTCTGTCCAAATTATTCGAAGTTTATACTTATTCTAACGGTGACTGCTCTATGTTCCGACACCCCTATGTTCCGACAACCCGCACATAAGATTGTGTTACTCCCGGTTGGGGTTAGGGTTAGAGTTAGGAATAGGAATATATGCAGTCGGAACATAGGTGTACGTCGGAACATATGGTGTAACCATTCTAACAGATATGAACTTAATTGCCCTTGTTTATTCTCATGGGGGACGGTAAATGTCATCTTTATGTGCCCACTCGCAGTTGGATTGCCGAACTGACTTATCAGTTATGGTTGAAATTCATTCTTGTTTCCCGACTTTTTAATCTTCATTTCGCCAGCCCACCGACGGCGTACTCCGGGTTCTCAAGCAGCTACTAGTATGCGGTGTGGAGTCCGGTCACCTGACCGAGCAGTACCTGCTGCGAGGACACCGTGATGTACGGGAGAGCGGCCCCACGGCTTGCCCCGGCGACACGCTGTACCCAGAGATCCAGACCTGGCCCCACTTCCTCGAACAGTGCCCAGACTAACTCTCATAGAGAGAAGAAAACAACTAGAGGTGGGCGTTTGTTGAGTTACAAACGCAGAGTGGTCGAGCAGACAACTATTTCATTAAACACTGCGCAGTTTAAGTTATGAATGATCAATTATTTTATGTCAGAACAAAGGATCACGAAAATTTAACCTTTCCAGTACAACCAATTTTTTGTTTAAAACAAAAATGCATCAAATTTCAGTACACATTTTATGTGCACGTTTAAGTTATTTCTGGTTTGTTGACGTCATCAGCTAGCCCAAAAGGGGAACGTGAATACCATGGGCGTCGCGAGGAGGGGGCAAGGGGGGCCCCCCCCCCCGGAAAAGCAAAAAAAATAAAAAAATAAAAAAGGAAGGAAAAAGAAAAGAAAAAAAGGAAAAGAAAAAGAGGCGCGAAGACAAAGTGGTGTAAATTTAATGAGTTGGGGGGGGGGGGCAAAATGTCCCTGCCCCCCTCTAAAACTGATAAATCGAGAATGTGTTGAGAAATACAAGCATTTTTTGGCAAAATTTTTTTTTGCCCCCCTCTATAAAAAATCCTGGCGACGCCCATGGTGAATACTGATTTAGTTCGGAGAGGATACATGTTCATTATGAAGTTAAAATAACGTATGAAAATATGGAAAATATAAGTGTATGTATAAATAACACCTAACTTCCGGTTGGATGACGTCAAAGCATTAAGGATCCAAAGGTCAACATTGTAACAGATATCATTATTTGAACGATAGAATTAAATTTGAAATAAAACTGATCTTTTGCAAATTCTCCCTACTGTAACTTCTGGTCTGATGCCGTTATCATTTTGAAACCTTGCAAAGTTAGATGAAGATGATAATAAAAAAAATTACAAGGGGAAATTTGGTTAAATTTGGACGGATGGTTTTTAAATTAAAAAATGGAAACTATTTGACGTACCGCTAGTGGGCGTCCTTTCAGATGATGACGTCATAATGATGTATTTGTGTCCTTTATTCCTTTCTAAACACTTCCATAATATTGCTTATAGAAAAAAAGCTTCCGCTCTCCAGTTATATTCAATTTTTATTGCACTTCCGGTCACACGGAAAGTGAAGGTCAAGCGGTTTTGTGACCAGGAATAAGAATTGTTGCCCGAGGCATCATTTACAACCTCACGAAAAACGAACACGATACTCTTAAAAGTTCTAAAGATATAGCTGAAACTATTTCTTTAATTTGGCCCTTAAATTGCTTGTAATTTGATACCTGATGGCATCATAATAACGTCAGATTTTTGTTAAACTTCTTCGGACGGGGGTTCAAGTTCATTCCAGGTTTTATCTTAATTCCGTAAATCGTTTTGAAGAAATTCGGTTCGTTTTGATTTTGAGGCTTCTGTCTATATTTCAAATTCACCTTACTTTGACATTCTGGTTGACCCGGAAGTAAAGGTCAAGCGAGTTCACGTACCTTGAATAATAGGTTATTCATACTAATATGCTGCAATTGGAAAATATAATATAATCTTGCTTGTTAATTCATTTTATATTCCTAAATATACACGTTTTACCCCAATATAACATGAAACGTCAGTAAATCTCCACCATATGGCTATGGGCTCCGTGCACATGTACCCCTTCAACCTGCCTCAACTCCATGCGCGTTCCTTCGCTAAGGTTAAGATCACGCAAGGCATGATGGGAAACAACATGGCGCAGCAAGATCGTACCCATGGAAACGAGGTTGGCCTTCAACTGCCAGAAAAGTACACTGTCCCCCCCCCCAAAAAAAACCCCTATATTTGAAGTCCGACGGACAATGGAGACAGGGAACTAGACTACCAGTAAAGGAGAGTTGGGGTAGACCTAGACTGGTTCCCGGTCCATCCACTGCGTTTTTCCAAATCATCCAAAGCTATTTGTCTGGGAGACCATCGCAAGTTAAATGCGAACGTATTCGCGCCCTGGTGACGCCTCGGTTCATACTTCACGCGAAAGCATGTGCGAAGCGAAATTCATGTCGTCAACAATGGTGGACGCGCTTCGAATGTATTGTTGACGTCACGAATTTCGCTTCGCTTTCGCTTTCGCGTTAAGTATGAACCGGGCTTAATAGTCCAGCGGATATGTGACAAAATATCGATGAATTGTGCACTTTTGCATAAAAGCGTGAAACTTGGCACAGATGTTTATATTCATGCGAGAAAATGTTTTAGATGTGGAGCCATCGCAAATTTACCCTTTTAGGGGCGTGGCATCCATTTAAAAAAAGGGGGGTGGGACTTGTCGTGCCCGCAGTAAAAATGGTTTTTCCCACTTGTTACAAAAGCAGGAAACTTCACAAAGACATAATTATATAGATTATTAGTGTTTTCCAGATTCGGAGCCACCACAAAAGTACCTTTTTAGGGGCGTGGCAGCCATTAAAGAAAAGGGGGGGGTTTAATTATTATGCCCACTTTGGAAAACATTGTGCCCATATTTCATGAACGAATAAAACATCCCACAGACGTTTATATTCATGAGAAAAAAAATTCCAGATGTGGAGCCATCTCGAACACACCCTATTAGGGGCGTGGCAACCATATAGGAAAAAAAGGGGGGCGGGGTTTTCATTATGCCCACCCTGGAAATATTGTTCCCACACTCATAGAGAAATGGAACTTTCCACAAACATTGACATTCATGAGAAAACAAATTCCAGATGTGGAGCCATCTCGAACACACCCTTTTAGGGGCGTGGCAACCATATCAGAAAAAGGGGGGGGCGGGGTTTTCATTATGCCCACCCTGGAAATATTGTTCCAAAATTCATAGAGAAAAGGAACTTTTCACAGACATTGACATTCATGATAAAAACAATTCCAGATGTAGAGCCATTGCGAACACACCCTTTCAGGGGCGTGGCAGCCATATTGAAAAAAGGGGGGCGGGGTTCTCATTATGCCCAACATGGGGAAAATGTGCCCACATCTCATAAACGAATGAAGCTAATTTCCACAGACATTAATACTCACGAGATAAAAATCACACGTGGAGCCATTGTAAACACACCCTTTTAGGGGCGTGGCAGCCATAATAAAATGGGGGGGGTAAGTCATGATGCCCCTATAAAAGAAAGTTGTGCCTACCTTTCATAAATGGATTAAATTCCACTCGGACAATACATTCATAAAAAATTTTTTTTTTAATGTGAGGCCATCACAAACCTACCCTTTTAGAGGTGCGGCATCCATTTTTAAAAGGGGGGGTACTCAATATGCACAACATGGAAAATTTTGACCGCGTTTCATATAATAAAATCCACCTCAGATAGCTGTTTAATGTGTTGGAGTAGGGCCGCCTTTATAGTTGGAATTTACTGTTGACAAACCCTTTGTTTTCTTACACTATGCATTCTTGCCTCATCCATATTAACCCAGTTACTGGTTCTTTTGTCTGTAGAATTATTGATAACCTTTCAACTGCATCAATATCTGAATTAGGGGTATAAACTGGGGTACCTCAGTTAGTCCTGGAAAGACTAGTGTTACTTCTTCAAATACATTGTTTCCCCTGCCTTTTTTTCTGACAGACCAAAAGGCATATGCAGTGTCGCACCTGTATAACGTATAATTTTTTTTAATGGATTTGGTCTGGGTAAAAAAAATCACTCATAAGAGCTTGATATACCATTTTTAAGAGAACAGAGGTATTGTGTGGTGGGGGTACACAGATTCATTGAATGTGAAGTCATAGTGGACGTGTCCACCTTTTTGTGAGGCGAGTACATCGTGTTGTTACCCAATCTGCTGTCAATGCGGCGGAACGGGTAAGGGGTAGGGGGATTTTACACTCCCCCCCCCCCCCTGTAAAAAAAAGATTTCCATGGCCCTTTAATGTTAAATGTTAGAGTTTAGGGCTGCCATTGTGTGCTGTGTATTTGTAATTATGAAATCACTCTGGAATTTAGATGTGCATGATAATATAGGTGCAAGTACACACATTGAACAATATAACACGGGTTAGCCTACCGGTACTTACCCATGCTCTTTGGGGTAAGTCATTGTATTACCAAATAATATAGGTTATGGGCCAATCAACATTATAAGAAATCAACAACAAAATATAAAAATTGCAATTGTGGGCACAGTGAGTAGGCCCCTCACACCTCTAAAAGGATGAGTTTGCTGTGGCTCTACATAAGAACTTTCTTTTATAGGGGCATCATGACTACCCCCCCCCCCCCATTTTACTATGGCTGCCACGCCCCTAAAAGGGTGTGTTTACGATGGCTTCACGTGTGACTTTTTTTTTCTCTTGAATATTAATATCTGTGGGAATTAGCTTTATTCTTTTATGAGAAGTGGGCACATTTTTTTCCCATGTTGGGCATAATGAGAACCCCGCCCCCCTTTTTTTCAATATGGCTGCCACGCCCCTAAAAGGGTGTGGTCACGATGGCTCCACATCTGGAATTGTTTTTCTCATGAATGTCAATGTCTGTGGAAAGTTCCATTTCTCTATGAATGTGGGAACAATATTTCCAGGGTGGGCATAATGAAAACCCCGCCCCCCCTTTATTTCCTTATATGGTTGCCACGCCCCTAAAAGGGTGTGTTCGAGATGGCTCCACATCTGGAATTTGTTTTCTCATGAATGTCAATGTTTGTGGAAAGTTCCATTTCTCTATGAGTGTGGGAACAATATTTCCAGGGTGGGCATAATGAAAACCCCGCCCCCCTTTTTTTCCCCTATATGGTTGCCACGCCCCTAAAAGGGTGTGTTCGAGATGGCTCCACATCTGGAATTTTTTTTCTCATGAATATAAACGTCTGTGGGACGTTTTATTCGTTAATGAAATATGGGCACAATGTTTTCCAAAGTGGGCATAAAAATTAAACCCCCCCTTTTCTTGTTATGGCTGCCACGCCCCTAAAAAGGTACTTTTGTGGTGGCTCCGAATCTGGAAAACACTAATAATCTATATAATTATGTCTTTGTGAAGTTTCCTGCTTTTGTAGCAAGTGGGAAAAACCATTTTTACTGCGGGCACGACAAGTCCCGCCCCCCTTTTTTTAAATGGATGCCACGCCCCTAAAAGGGTAAATTTGCGATGGCTCCACATCTAAAACATTTTCTCGCATGAATATAAACATCTGTGCCAAGTTTCACGCTTTTATGCAAAAGTGCACAATTTTTTCACATATCCGCTGGACTATAAGCCTGGTTCATACTTCACGCGAAAGCTTGTGCGAAGCGAAATTCATGTCGTCAACAATGGATGGACGCGCTTCGAATGTATTGTTGAAGTCACGAATTTCGCTTCGCTTTCGCTTTCGCGTGAAGTATGAACCGGGCTGACGCTCACGTCACGCGAAGACACTGTGGCTAATAGGAATAGGCCTATACATGTAGCTTTGGCTCATTCAGAAGTCGTGCGTACTTCGCGTGCGAACAGTACAGTACAGTACAGTACGCCCTCTCTGCGTGTCCCGTCCACGGGGCTCTCAAAAGTGGTAAAAAAGCATACTCTTTTGTTGGCGCACGGAGCCCATAAGCGACAGATCTGATATATTCTCAAATGTACAATGTACACCGTCTGAAGCAAAATGAAAAACACCGTATACAATAAACCCCTCCATGGTGAAAAAAAATGTCAAAGTCCACAATATAAAAGAGAGATAAGGCGAAGTAAAAAAAAAAAAAAAAAAAGGTTTCTCGTCCCCGCCCGCTTCCTTTTTGGAGGCCACCTGGATTTGTTTAAATTATTTTTTATTTTTGAAAATGCAGTAAAAAAACACCGAAAAAGTCCACGGTTAAAGCAAATGCATCTAAAACTGTTCATTGTAGACCAATACAACTCTAAATGACACTGTAAATATGATCAGTTCTCTTGTCCACCTTGTCTTTCATTTTAAAAGTGTCTTTGAACAGTGGAAACACCAACGGTTGCAGGAAATTTTAAAATGGCGGCAATCTTGAAAAAAATAAAAAGCCCCGCTTCCTCCTTTTTTTTCAAACACCCGGACGAGAAACATGTGTTTTTTTTCATTCGGCCTAAGGAACCAGCCGACAGGTTGCTTGTATGAGGCTGCATCCTAATCAGCTGCTAGAGCTAGGTCTAGGTCTGCTTCCGTTGAAAATACGCTGGGGCGCGCTGAACGTAATAGACGTAGCCGTAGCTCTGGAAGCCCGTTTCGGACACGGCCTATTTGGCTGCCACGCTCGGTGAGCATAGACCTTATGCGTCAGCAGCCATCTTAGAGGGCAATGCCTCTGTTTGGCTGAGATATGCATGAGTGAAACTTTGTGCGTTGTTACTGAATTATAATAACAAAAGATGCCCTTCAAGATGGCCGCCGCGCATAAGGTCTATTCTCATTATATAAATGGCTGAAAAGCGTGCGTGTAATCTGCTGAAATTATCGCCGATAAGCATTTGTAACAGACTGTATTATTAAACTAAGACCCAAATTTCTTAAAACATCCAGAACTTATTACTAATTTAGTGCTGTTCTCAGTAGACCTATCAGAGAACCAATTATATGCAAAACCGAAAATATGCAAAACTGAAAAAAAACATAACCTTCACCAAATTCAGAAAATTAAAGTTTAATACATGCAAGAAAAGCCAAGTATGTCGTAATGGTTTGTATCTCAACGGTTGTTTAAAAGCCTTTGTCCTTCCAACTGGGCCTATCGTGCACAAAACTGTAATAGTGCGCATAATTATGACTGGTTCTAAACTAAATTCTAATTATGGCTGCCAGGTTTTTAAAAAATTGTGCATTCAAAATTTTGACGCGAATCAGTGACGCCGGAAGCGGTGTTTTTATCTGCAGCACACATCGTCAATGGATCATGATTATTCAGCTAGTTTGATGTTTATTCATAAGAAAATAACAATGACGTCGCTCAGTAATGGGTGTACATTAAAGCATTTCAAAGAATGGCTTTCGTCGAGCTGCCACAGGAATGAACTATGGATCGCAAGATCTGTGGCTCAAACCTATGTTCATAAGTTCATCAAGTATTTGCTTTGGTTGGGATAAGTTTAATTGAAGGGAAAACACTACGAGAAATAAGTGTCTTCCATCCACACAGCGTGATAAATATTCAAATCTTGAAGACACTCGCTTGTTCGCAACTTGACGGTCACGTGATCACTAATTATGTACATGATTATTCAAGAGGCCCAAGTTGTTGGTGTTTGGTCAGTTAGTTAGCCCGTGGGTGCCTTTCCTCCAAGGCATTTGATGGGCTCATGAACTATGATGGCTCCAGTGGCCTCATCGAACGTACCAATAACCTACCAGGAGAAAAAAAGTCTGGTCATTATTAAAAAAATATCTTTATGCTTAATTAAATTGTATTTATTCAACATTTGGAGAGGATTTGTCTTATTCATCTGGGATTCCTCGGAAGATAGAGGATGCATGAGGAACTGGGACCGTGTGACGAGTCATACGAGGCAACGCACAGGCAACTTGTTCCAGGCAAGAAGAAAATGACAGGCTCATTATACAAACTTTCTCCATAACCTATCCCGGATATATGTCTTGATGATGATTCCTTGATACCATAAAGATGATTCTTACTTTAAAATATAATCTTCCTTTTTTTTTACTAAAGACTTCAAACTCACATCGAACGTTCCCTTCTTGGTGTCCGTCATATCCAGTACTAGGTCACACACCCCGAGGCGATCCCCATTGGCGCTGATGCGAACTGCGCCGGTTACACCTGTCACCAAATTGTAGGCAAAATCACAGGACAGTACGTGTATATTATTTTCAAACTTTAAAAATCAAATAAGCTTGTCATCTTAAATAGCTGAATTTTTTGTTGTATTGTTGTACTGCTGCTGCTGCTGCTGCTACTGATAAGAACTATCGAACATTAGCTGGTCTACCCAGCTTTTGATACATACCCTGGAATGTTCGGTCCCACATTTTCTTTGTCACTACTCGTCCATCCCTTACGTCGCCACCCTCGGCCACAATTTCATTGATCACATCGGCGTAAATCAGAACAGCATCGTAGGTCGCAGCAGCAAACAGATTTTCCTTGGGAAAAAAATGCACAATAATGAAATGTAATAGACATGAGACCTAGTGGAATGACGTAATGGCTTTGTTTACATATGCGCTTTCCTTTGAGCTCGAAGTCGGGACGCCAGACGAAGTAGGGACCGTCTACCACATAGGGAAGTGCACATGTAAACAAAGCGTGACGTCATTAGGTCTCAGGCCTATTGCAGGCGCTGTGACGTGGCTTTATGCTTGGTACAGGATCAGACTTGCGGCATTTGCTCTATGATTGCTATGGATATTTGTTGGCAAACCGGAAATTGACGATACCTGTGCCGTCGTGATTGTAAAATTGAAATAAGTGAATATAATGCGCAATATGTTTTCTAGTGTAAGATCCAAGACGTAGCTTTCTTGAAATGGAAAGAAACTGAATGTCTGCTGCCACCAAGGGGTCACTATATAGTCCCGAAGGTGAAAGGTCACATACCCCACTGCCTAATTCACGCCCGTATAAGGTCAGCTGGCGATCTTTCAACTCACGCTGGAACGCATGGTACACGGGGGTATCAGGAACATGGTACCGCATCATCAACAACGCCTTCAGTGCTTCAACTGTCTCCGCATCGTTGTTTTCGAACTGAAAGACGTTGAAATGGAATTAACGGAGTGCTGTGTAACACGTCTCTCTTGTACCCGTATAAAACGTACCGTTAATACCATGGTACATCCCGTGGTATTGGTCAACGGTATACCATGAACTTTGGTACCATGGTATGACCATGGTGCCTAACCATGGTATTCTGATGGTTGTACTGTAGAAAAACCTTAGTTTGTAGTCGAGTATACCACGGTATTACTACAGTCTAGTATTTTTACGTGGACTGCCATATTGAAACCCTCATTATGTAAGAGAGTTGCAGTTTTTGCTGGTCATTTTGTATTTTCAATAATCCAACGATATATCATTAGAAACAATGATAAGTATTCTTAATTTTTAAACCATTGCTGTGACGTCACACTATTGTTAAAAGTGTGGATTCGGATCTACGCATCTCTTACACTGGTCACAAAGTGTGGATTCGGAACTACGAATCTTTAGTAAAGTGTGGATTCGGAATTACGAATTCACACTTTGAACACGTCGGACAATTGTTCTCCACAATGAACATGAATAGGACTGTCTGTGTGAACAGCTTTCCGAAAATCACCAATGAATCTTCACTGGAAGATTCTCCGCCGTCACTGCAAAAAGAACCTGCTTTTAGTCAGAAAGAAATCGTCGTCTGAACTATCCATTTTGTCGTAAGGAGCCTATACACATAAAATGACTTGGTTGTACAGGTGTGGCGATACACGTGCTAAACACGCCAGGAAAAAAACTGTTGCAACCTGACGCCACTTCCGCGCTTGTGTACAAAGTCTATGGAGAGTCATTTCAAGTATTTCTAAAATTGGAAACAAGTTTCTCAGTCCCAGATTCATGTCTTATCATCATTTTTGCAACGAATGACCTTCATTGAGACGATATATGAAGAAAAAGTGGCGTCAGGTTGCAACATGCTTTCCAGTATTTCTGTTAACGCAATGGTTTGAGTCGATGAATACACTCAAAAGTGTGGATTCTTAATTTACGAATTCACTCGGCGCTTCGCGCCTCGTGAATTCTGAAATTACGAATTCACACTTTCTCGTGTATTCTCCTTAACCGAAACGATAACCGTTTAACCGTTACGGGTTGGCAAAGAAAGGTCTAAAGGCCTAGTCAATTTGTCGATACCTTCAAACAATCCTTTCACGTACTTAGACGCTATAGCAGAGCAGTGAAATCCATGCATCACAAAAAACATGGCCTTTTGAAAGTTGTGTTTCTCAGAAAATATGCTCAGTATGATTGAAAAGTTAAATTATAATGGAAGAAGAAATTTTTAGCTTCATGTCAGTGAAAAAAATCGCCATCATCGATGCCGAAACGTCAATACTGGTTACTGGTATAGCTGACCTTCAAGTCTGGAAGAAATCGTTCGAAAACTTCCCCAAATCTCTGTATTTATATCTTTTTCTAGGAATTTCTCAAAATTGTCATTTCACGAGCAGTTGAACACTTATATCATCTAAGTATATTCCGAATTCGCTAGTGCTACAATTTGAACGATCTCCATGGAAAATTTCGACGATGATTTCTGCCGACCCAAGTCACATGCATTGTTCAGCTTCAGCAAAGCGCCTTAGGCGCTACGGTTGACTAGCCACACAATATGGTATTGTAGATTAGCATATTCATTAGCGTCACTTGGCCTGTTTTGGTGTGGGTCTCGGTATCGACCAATGGAAGCCGGCAAAAAGGTTGAAATTTATCAATTAATAACTCGTGAAGGAGGCTTTTCTCAAAATTCTTACTGCCCACAATAATGGATAGGAACCTTATTAATAATTCGTGAGGCTTGAAAAGATTGACAGCTATTGCAAACGCCAGTGTTACAACTTTCAATGATGCACGTAGCCAGGCCTATTTTTCCCATTTCAGCGAAAGTAATGAACACATCACAGCGATTTTTAGCACATACTTGGATCATTGTGAGGAAAGTAAATCCTGAAAGTTGCATGAAGATACGGTCTTCCAAACGGGAGAAATTATTTTTTTCAAAGATTTCGCCCGCCAACGTGAACATGACGTGTGTGCACAAGTAGTTTCTTTCAAAATGAAGTGTTACGTAGCCTTTAGAAATCGCCCTTCGCAACCGTATGACTGTTCAGCGACATGGCGAAACCTTTTTCATTGAGGGGTGCCAGAACACAACACACACACTTTGTTTGGTGTAAATCGAGGATTTTCTGTTGTTCTCTTCCCTTTTCCTTTGTACTCTTTTTTTTTACAACAGCTCTTATTGGTTTGGTTCACGTTTTTCTAATCGAGGTCGTTCTCGATTTGGTTCCTGTCCACAATTCATCGATGATGTTGCACGTGTGTGTCCTCGATTTACACAATAAACACGAACACAGACATATTCACACCGTCAATCGCGGACGTATGCTGGGAATCGCAGACAATATTGTTCTTTTTTGTTCTCCGGCATGATTAGTCCACGGTTTGAATGATGCCTGAATACGCCCGTACTTGTGGGAAGACATTTGTTTCCCTTCTTTTATTTTTTTTATTTTTATCCTATTGAAATTTCTAACTCCATAGCGTTTCCCTTATGGGGCAGATAGATTTCTAAAGACTTCCTTATGGGGTATATTGTTGTATTGTGTTTTCTACGCCATAGGAACACTCTATACATGTACACCATAAAGCTATATTAAATTAATTTAATATAGCTCTATGATGTACATCTACACGCGCACACCCACATCTACACTAAACTAGCTAGAATTTTTTTTTACAATATGGCACTTGCCAAGGAAGGCAATTATTGGTTCAAATAATGATTCGGGCAACATTTTTTTTTCCATTTTTGTTTGAAATGATAACAACTAACCTGGGAGCTCGTCTGCCATGGCGAGTGCTCGAACGGGATCCAGTTTAGAAACACATGCGAGCCCCGAGTGAGACCCAGACGATGCGCGTGGACCATGATGTCACGTACCGGGGAGGCACTGATGAAGATAACTACATGTAGGGGAAAAAACAACTAGGGAGATGAATATCATCAGGATGCACCTTTTCCTGTTTTTTGTTTTCTTTTTAATATTGTATCTTGGAAAACAAGACTAGGCCTGTGAACTGTAGAGCTTAACTCAAAAGTCTCAGTTTATGACGCTATTATACCAGTGCGTCAGTCAGTCGGCAAGGGAGTTAGTAAGTGTTGCAGCAAGTCAATCATTCAGTCAATGCGTCAGTGACTCAGTGCGTCAAACACTGTCAGTGACGGTGAATCAGTCAGTCAATCAATCACTCAGTGAGTAACAGGGAGGCCTGTTCCGGCTCTTTCGGGCCCATGCAGCAAAAAGCTTAGGAACCGCATGTCATATTTTTATCGCAGTTTTGTTTTTCACTATTTTTTGGGGGGGAGGGGGGTCATCTGCAAGATCAATGTCTTCGCATAGGCCCATTCCACAAAACGCATATATTTGTTGTTTGATCTCTTCGGGCTAAATTCCTACGTTACCTGCCCATTGTATTGTACTCACCCTTGGAGAAAGAAGCAACCTTCTCTAGAGCTTTATCCAAAGTATCAAATTGGTCTGCGTACACCTCGACCACAATTATTCCATTCCTCTCCAGGCCTGCGAACACGGCGTCCGGGAGATCGCGGCGGTAGTACACATCTACTGGCAGTCCGCGGAGTATGGCACAGCTGGTCAAACCCAGATGACGGAGCACGGCAGTCATGAACTGCACCATGGGCCCCATGCCCGGACACGCGCGAGTCAGGGTCGGGAAGCGCGTCTTGTCATCCAGGAGCGTGGAAGTGGCTGCCCCGGCCAAGACCGGAAGATTCCAGTAGGCGGCCATGTCAGCTACAGCAGCCATATCGGGGCTAACAGCCGGCCCCAGGAAGGCATCCACGCCGTCATCGTGGTACATCGAAGATGCCAGGGCCCCACTAGACCGTACTGGGCGTGTACAACACTCATCAGTGCTTACGTGCGTCATGCTGAAGTTCTTGTACACACCCCTTTCCAGGCGTTTCGCGACGGTTTCGAAGGCGATCTGAGCCGCCGGCAAAAGGGAGTACTTGCTTATCAACACCGGGGGCTCCTTACAATCCGACAGGTGTAGCATGCCTACTTTCACATTGACAGTAGCATGGACTACTGTACTCAAGAGTAACGGCGCTAAAATGATACTGCCATACATTGCGACCATTATGCTTCTATTATAAAAACCGACTGTAGTGCAGCACAACCTCAGCTCAGTAAACCGAAGCTCTATGGAAACACGTAGTCAGTGGCTAGTCTGCCTATCACCCGTTATCCACGGAGCCAACTCCTGTAAAAGGCCATATAAAAAGTCTCCGGTTTCTGGTATGGAGCTTGCCCCAAAAGTGGTGCCCATAGAGGCCACATAGCTTATACGCCATCGTAACCCCATCTAAAAACACGTCAAAAATGTGCAGCAGCAGGATTCCAGTCAAACCAGTGAGTTTGGCGGTTTTGGAACATCATTTTACATCGAAAAAAAAAACTTTTTTTAATTTTGCCGACGCGCATGTCCACGGCGACGCGCGCGCATAATAATAGACCGTGGGCCAGAAATCCTATCTTGCCTAGAAAAGTCCGTTCAAGATTTTTGGTGGCAACAAAAAAATGCTTATTCTTTGTCATTTCGAGGGTGCTGAATTCAATTCTTTCTGTTGCCAAGCTATCAAGTGTCAGGTTTAAGCACAATCTTCGTTCGAAATGTTATACCAAAACATCCTCTTTTGGGGCCTCTGACAATACATTCCCTTGAGGATCTCGGCAATGGCCCCTCCGATTTCAATGCAGATTGTCACCAACTTGGAATACTTTATGATAAATAACTGTCAAAAATTGTACGCTCATAGCCAAAGGGATTTCATAATAACGATAATAATGCAAAAACAATGCTTTGACATACCGGTACTGGGTAGCTGTGTGCAATGTTTTATTACATGTACATGTACCACCTGGTTTTTTAGGCATTACTGATTTTATATCCATAAGGCACTAGCCTACCACACTGTTTTCATTAATGTAAATGACTGAATTACACGTCACTAAATAGTCTTTGATGCAAAAAAAATTTCATAATTAAAGTTTATTGTTGTTTTGTTAATTAAGTAGGAAATTATTCAGCAAATACATGTAACGCTTTGGTCATATTCAGTGTTGTATGCTTACACAGTATTTTTCCAAAGTATCACTGAAATGTTCCATGTGATGCTGAAAGATTCTGTCGTTAATCCAAATTAAACAAACTGTCTAAAACTTGAATTCCAAAGATTGTAAATCGATGGGAAATGATTACAAATGTATGTAATAATACAACTTTTTTTCTAGGCATTATTATTCTCAAATGCAGAGCTGAAAATGCTCTTTGTAGATGACCGAATTACATCATTAACCCAACATGAAGTATTTTGATGCCAAAAGTTTCATAGTTGTAAGGGTTTCACGGTTTATAAAGCATCAAATTATGCAAAACTTAACGCTTTGGCTATATTATGCCTTGTTTATATGCGGCCAAATGGGTTTTTCAAGTCATCACTGAACTTCCTATTAATTCCGCAAATGTGAATCTGAAAGACTATTGCAGATTACTAAATTATGTCATTAACCTAAAATGAACCGAAAGATTTCATGGTAATTACTTAAGCAGGTATGCAATGCTTTTTCAAGACATTATTTAGTTTTTTCTCTTACATTTTGAGCCAGACAAACTATTGGTGGCGGAAATGAAACGGGTGTTCAGAGTGATTCTCAAATTCAGACGAAAATTAATGACCGATATTCAGAAGTGAATGAACATTTTAGGAAATTGGCCGGGAAAACCTATACTATAATATTAAGTACATTTTGTATTACGAGAAAGTCTTTCTTCTTTAATCATCACTAGTCTTCCTCAAGATCTTGAACAGTCCCTCAAATGTTGCTTGGTGTTTAGGCATCATAATCCTGTTTCAGGGCTATGTTTACTTTCATGCCTTTATTAACTTTTCCTTCGAACAATTATATTTCTTGATGAATATCATTATCTTTCAAATGTAGGTAACTTGACAAAAAAATCCTTGTAGTTGTTGAAAAAAAAACTCGCTTGACTGACCAAAGAGTCTTCCTATTTGCTTTTTCATTGGCTTGATCTTCACCCATACACCCGTTGACGTACTTTTCATATTTCTCACTCCACATCTCTTCAGTGGCGTCTTTGGCGTCTTCCAACCAGTCTTGATAGGCAGCATTGTCTTCCAATTCAGAACTAGACTCATCTTCATCCGATAATTCGTCTTCTTCTACCTCCGTTTCGGATTCCGAGTAATATTCCTCGAAATATTCATCTTCAGTCTGCGTAGATGCAGTTTCACAGTTTTCTATTTCCGAATCTGCAAAATGACTCATCTTCATCCGATAATTTCCCATCTTTTACCTCTGTTTCAGATTCCGAATAATCTTCAACGAAATCTTCGTCTTCATCCTGCGTAGATTCAGTTTAACAGTTTTCCGAATCTTCAAATCTACGCTTTTTACAATCTGGTTCAGAATTGTCCTCATCAACTTCCTCCACTATAGATTCCTCTTCAGCGTGTACATTTTCTGCATGCCTCCGATAGGCCGAAGGTTATATCTCCGCCCAAAGCTCTTGTCACAGTGCCAGACAAGCATGAGGTTTGACTGCAGAAAAAAAATTCATGTTGAGTCTTTGACGGTTAGTCTCCGATTGGTAAGAAACAGTTAAAATCGATTAATCTATATGCTGCTGCTCATGATTTCCTCTTGGTTGCTCTTCCTTGCTCTTTCCTTGCTCTTTTCTTGATCTTCTCTTGCTCATTTCTTGTTCATTTCTTGCTCATTTGCTCATTCATTGTTTTTTTCTTGCTCACTTGCTCATTTATTGCTCTTTTCTTACTCATTTGCTCTTTTCTTGCTGATTCAGAAGAGCTTTGGGCGGAGATATACATGTACATGTATATTCACTTAAGCGCGCGTTGTCTCCATCGTCGTTCGCCTTCTGTCCCCTTTTGTTGTACTATATATTATCTTCGAGTAATAATACTCATTCAGCCCTAATCCCCACCTTATGATCGATTTGTCCATCGATCCACGACGTCACTACGCCTCAGACACACCCCGTTTTGTGATCCTCGTCGGGGTTACCGATATGATCCTCGATGATGATCATGCTCCTCCTCCTAAAAAACGAGGTCAAATACGCAGTATACACTACTTCTGTTTTCGTTCTAGCAGATTTTTGAGAAAAATGGGTTGTCCACTTTTGGTCCTCCATAACGGCCTCACAAGGTGACACAGTTATTGTTTACATGTAATTTCTAGAGCTTATGATTTTCATTGAATTTTCCGGGAGCCGATTCCGACTCCGAACCGGCTCTTTTTTGGGAACCGCAACCGGCTCCAGGAAGATTGGAACGTATAATTGTACAAAAAATATTGAGGATATCTGAATTAATAATCTGCACAACTAAAACCAAATGACCCCAACATAATAAAAGTCTAAACAAAATGGATACGAGTTTACAGTGGCACATTTTGTTTATTTTCACTTCTTTTTTTTATTACATGTGGTCAATTCAAAATATACAGGGATTTATATTTATTAGTCTCTGAATGCCAAGACCTAGTATACAGTTTAAAGCAAATGTCCAAATGTGCATACTAAAAATGCATATGAAAATGTAACTCACAGACTAATCGATATGCCCGGGTACCTTGAGAGGTTTAATTTCCAAGAACGTAATTTTAAATAACACCAATTCTAACAGGTGTCTTTCTACATATATTTTGAGGATAGTACACATTATGTGATGCTTATCATCTCCTTAAATAAACCACCGAGGGTGCCTTTCTGCAAGACTCATGCAACAGCTACTGTAAAGGAGCTCTGTGTGTATGAAACTCTCAAAACTTAGGCTTTGTCTTTATGCTTCATCTCCGCGTGCAAAATCAGTGCTGAGCCTTCAGTATCCAAACCTAAGTAGAACATAGACTGATATTGATCAAAGGGTGACTGCTCTATGTTCCGACACCCCTATGTTCCGACAACCTAGATTGTGTTACTCCCGGTTAGGGTTAGGGTTAGGGTTAGGGTTAGGGTTAGGGTTAGGGTTAGGGTTAGGAATAGGAATATGTGCAGTCGGAACATAGGGGTGTCCGAACATAGAGGTGTAACCAATCAAAGGACCAAAAATCACCATGGAAGGAAGCCAGCGGTCAAGCATAAGTTCCCCCCTCCACTCGTCACTTTTTACAACAGTTGTTTTCAGTCACATGAGACAGCAGTTCTACTATCTGAAGAATTTAACAAAAATGCGTTGATTAAATAACACATCAATTTTCATTGGTTTAGCCAAAGGCTATTTTGGACACCCCTGTTGGTTCCTCTTATACATGACCTACAACTTCACCAATTTTGACACCCTGTTGTTCACTTTCAGGCCCATTTGGGCAACTAACTTTTGGAATAAGGCCTACAGTTCTGGTCATCTTAGGTACAGAAGGTTGAATGAAAACTGGAACATAAAGCAATCTGCTGCTCAAACTGACTGAGACAAATTCTTCCAAGCATAGTTGATAATCCATGCATTTGAAGCATTCTATGGGCGTTTTCGAATCCCTCTTCTTGACAACACTCGGGTTAACCCGACACGAGAACAGCGGTCTCGAGCGTGACGAACAGACCCGAGAGGGCATTCGCGGATCGATTTTTTCACTCCCCGGTTGATGGAGGGTTCAGCGAGGTGCAGCTTCAACAAAATGGCGGACAGTGCAGATTCGTAAATTGTTTTGTGTGGTTTTTTTTTGCAAATACCCTAATGATTGGAATAAGAATACCATTATAGTGCAGGTCTGCAATTTCATCTCCGCATGTCCGGTTTTGCAACAGTCGTCCTCGTTCATTTGGAATAGGCCCAAGTACAAATTCAGACGATTGTCGGCCATTTTGCATTGCTTTATATCGATGCGACACGTACACGGACCCGCGCGTTCGTAACAACCAGCTCGAGAATACGTTCTCGTGTTACACGCGTGTTGTCAAGAACAGGGATTCGAAAACGCCCATTGGCACTGTTAATTTGGTAGCCAAACTCAAGATTCTTCAGCGGGTAACATTCCTTTTTGGCACAGCCTGGCCAGCAAACCGCTGAGTTGCAGCAGTGAGTTTACTCCCTCTGCAATCCTTAAGTGTGTGAATCCAATCTCCTGCGACATAAGAATGACAAGAGGATGGCGTGAATTTTTTTTTTGCAAAATGATGAAAAAAGATGGTAACTTGACAGGACTAGTGGTGGGATTTATAGCCGGGTTTTTTTTTAACATTCGGTGTGAATTCCACTATACGGTTTAGATTTTGAAAATCAGATATTCGAAACCAACCTTAAAAAAAGGGAGCCCTTGGATTTTTGTGTGTGATAGGCTAAAAAAACACATGAACATCTCTGATTTCTGATTGTAACTGTGTTCATTTGCTAGTGGTTTTCTTTGTATAGTTCCCATCCATTTTTTCCCCAACATTACAGCTCTGGAGTGTTTTTGTAAAGGCCCAGTGGTCATTGAATCCTGCAAACTATACCCAGTCAGTGGGAGGGCATTGCATGCGGCACCTCACTCGTCACTTTTTGTTGGCATGACTGTGAGCTGGATGGGAACTTCCGGTGAAATCAGACAACCATTATTCGGTTTGAATAAAATGAGGATAACCGGATTTTTAAATCTCCAGTTTCTCCCACCACTACACAAAACAAGACTTGACAGGACAGGACAAAATTAGACAAGACAGACTTTTCGACCTCAGACTATTGGACACGACTCCATAGGAAGGCACTCACTAATCTAGGACAGGACGGGTCACTCTGGACACTTCAAAACTTACTAAAGCAAATGGGACATGATAGTCGCCAAGATCCAAAGATGCAAGACAAGATGACAGCTCAGCACACCAACCTTCACTTTGTCTCGCTTGAGGTAGGCGATTCCTCCATGTCACACAACAGCAATGCAAACAGGACATACATACATACATTGTACCTGAGACAGTTTACCTAGTCCTATAGGTCGAGAGCCTGTCACGTGGGTGATTTTTTTTACAGTCAATTAAACACAGGCTGGCTGGTTTTAAACACTTTTCTGGTGTCATGTGAAATTTAGAGTCCTATGAAATCTGGTCCCTTTTACCCTTTTACTTGCTGAATGTTCACAATCTTCACTCAGGCATGCGAAATACTACAATGAGTCCGTATTTCAAAGTCCTAAATTCACACTACGCCAACATCGCCGCGTTCTGCGCCACATCACGCAATATGGGCCAGCCAATCTCCATAAAAGAGGTGTTTACGACTTCTCGCGAGAGGGACATACCATAAACATAGCTAGAGGGGCGTTTAAGAAAAGATGAAGTAAAAGAGTTGGATACAACCGTTGGAAATTAATTTTTTTTTACTTGTTTTGACTTTTCGACTGATTTATATAATGGAACCAGGACTGGACAGGACAAGACGGGACAAGACAGGACAAGAAAGTACAAAAGAGGAAATGCTTGACAATCAGCTCAGCAGACCAACCTTGATAAACTCCAGCTTGAGGTACTCAGCCATGTCATACGTCTTGCAGACTCTGAACATGTTTGAGATGATGTCCTCGGGGGCATAACCCATGTCCCACATGTGATCCATCACCTCGTAAGCCTTGTCAATGTCTCCCTCGATGCACTTGGCAAACATGTCCTTGATCAGGATTGGGTGGGGCTCGTCACACACCTGCCAATCAGAGCAAGTGGGAGTAACAGCTATTATTAAAGATCATACATGATTATAAACCAAGCATGTTTCTTTCATGGGTTGGTGTTCCAACGCTTTGTTGTTGGTCAATTTTAACTACCTCTCTAACCTTTGTGCATGCAGTTACAGCTAGCAGTTTCGAAGATCCGAATATTCAGTCAAACGTAGTTTCAATTAACAGAATTCTAAATTATTCAAAAATGGACAGCCTTATACCTCTTTTCTCCTGATCACGTGATTAGTCAAAACCTACAAAATCTAGTGAATATGCAACAAGTTGCAAAAATCTGCATGCTAGTTCATTGGTCGTAAAGAATCTCACCATAGGCATCCGCGTGATTTTCTAGTCAAAGACAGCTAAGATATTTTACATAAGGTATAAAAAGTTTTGAGCAAGATGGTCTCACCTTGAACACATTCTCACTGTTGATAACACCAAACCCGGAATGTGTAGACTGCATGTTGTTAACTGCCTGCCATTAAACAGAGCCAAAGTAAGTCATAAAAATCAGTAGTTATGTTCTTAATGGTAGAGTAGATCATTTGCAGCTATCCAAAAAGTATGTGACAAAATTATTATAGTTGAAAAGCTCACTTGGTTCCAAGATAATAATGGCACTAAACTCATTTTGCAGGGGCAGGCTGTTTCGCCTGTATGCTGTCAAATGCAGCAACATGCACAGTTACAACACTTACTTGTCTCATATCACCCTGCGCCGTGTAGATGACAGCCTCCAGCCCGTCATCTGTGCATTCGATCCTTTCCTGCTCCGCAATCTCCATCAGCCGCTGTAGGAGCTGCTTGTCTGTCAGCCGTGAGTATCGCAGCACGGCGCAGCGCGACTGGATGGGCTCGATGATCTTACCCGAGGTGTTGCAGGCCAGGGCGAAGCGGGTGGTCTTGGAGTAGATCTCCATGGTGCGTCGTAGGGCCTGCTGGGCACCGCTTGTCATGCTGCGTGGAATGAGAAAGAAAAGTTATAACTCAACATACAATTTGTTATGGTGTATATATGATGTTAACAACCCCCCACTCCCCCTCCGTGCGTACATACTTTATGGACGGCCCCCTTGGTTGGCACATTAATAATTCTACAACCCGAAATGAAGGCGAAGTCAGGGACCATGCCAAGGTTTAGAAAAATGACCCTGGAACTAGCTCAGTGCAACAACTTTTGCAATACCTAGACTATTCAATATTAGGTTTTGCCATTCACCGACGTATAAACACTCTATACTCAGTGTCCCCCCCCCCCCAAGTGAAAGTGAGGAGAAAAACAAGAAAATAACTTGGGTGGGGCTCACACCCACGACCTCCTGCTTTCTAGTGTAGACGTCGTACCGCTCAACCATCCAACTTGCCGGGATCGGCTGGCTGGTTTGAATCTGATGTAGCAGCGGGTACCGCAATAAAACTATTGATAAGATGGAATTTGATATTCTAACTGAAGGAGTGCCACTACATGCATCAGTTGGAGCCAAGAGATTGCGTTTCTAGATTGCTGGAAACAGAACACCAAATTACAGCCCTCCTACCTGTCTGCTTCATCCAGAATGATGACTTTGTGCCGACCCTTGGGAAGTGTGACCTTCTTCTGAGCAAACGTTTTGATCTTATTTCTGACGACATCAATACCTCTGCAAATTGAAAAAATAAATCAAACAGATCTGCCAGTTAAAAATGTCAGTCACTAAAATTTCTGAAACTTGGCACTGGGACTGGGTTTTATTGGGTTTATTAATCCCCATCCCCCAAAAATCTTTCTAGCCCTAAGAAAGTTTGCCAATTTTTTTAGCAACATTTCTTGAGATTTTGTCATAATCATGCAGTAATTTCCCCACGTTTTGTCTGAAATAATTCAATGTTACTTCAAATTGTGATAAAAAAAAAATTCAGAAAAGCTTTCGATTTTCTTCCTCACATTTAAAAAATTCTGAAAAACTAAGTTTGGGCATAACATGTTAACAATAGAATCCTGTCTGGGTTTAACAGGGGTGCGAGTGACCTCTGATAAAAATAGCTGAAAATAGCTGAAAACAGCTGAAAAATGTGTAAAAAAGCTGAACTTTGGAAATCTCCTACACTTTTGTACACAGCAAGTGATGGAAAAAAGCTGAAATCCAAAACAAAAAAGCTGAAATGAGCTATAAAGCTGAGATTTCACACCCCTGTTTAACCTGTGGGCAATTGATTTGGGAAAGATTTGAATAGATTCTATTGCTTCTAATTACCTGTCATTGGATGCGTTCATCTCCAGCACTGCATCTTTGTAGTTAGGTCCAAGCAGTGCATGACATAGGCACAGGATACTAGTGGTCTTGCCTGTGCCAGGGGGACCCTATAATAAATAATGCAGTCATCGGCAGAAATGCATAAAAATGTTGTTGCAATGATGCACTTTCAACATGTTCATGGTAAAAAATTCCATTTTTGCTAGCAAGAGACAGAAAAGAAGTGTGTCAGTGTTAGGCCAAGTAAAAAAAAAAAAGTTTAGTGTCTGGGTTTTTGGAAAAAAAGGAGGAGGCGGGGCCTTTTTTTTCAAGAGTGACGACAACTGTTGGTTTTTACACTGTTCAAAGATACAAAAAATGAAACAGACATGCTGGACAAGAGAATTAAACATATTTACAGTGTTTTTAATAGTTTTCCAGCATGGTTTTACTTTTACTTTATACATTGTTTCGACTTGCAAGTATTTGATTTTACGATGGATCGGTCGACATTTTTGCTATTTAAAAAAAAAGGAGAAAAAAAAGGAGGCGGCCACCAAAAAGGAAGCGGGCAGGGACACTAAACATGTTTTTTTATTTGGCCTTACTACGTGTTTACATCAACCCAGCTAGTCCAAAAATTTAAGACTCTCAATACTGTGTATGAGAGTCCCAAAACTTAAGGTATTGAAAACATGCAATACAAGAAAATAGACTGGCACCTAAAACAACCAGTCCAACACAAGAAACAGCTGGCATGTCTGGTACTGGTCTTTATTTCGACACATTTCTCCATAGTCAGCCACCAGACTAATGAAGAGGTCTGTCTTTTCAAACAGTTGGACCATGGTTGCTGGACATGTACCCGTCTAGTCTTTAGCCTCAAATTGATATCACCTGACTTCACTCTCAGGTGCAAAATATTGAAGAAAAGTCTCCTTCAAAAATTGAATTGAGATTTTAAACTTGGCAACTTGTGAAATAGTGAGGACCTTTTCTTTGCCTCATTAAAATTTTGCAGAATTTTGTCAGCTAAAGAGTGAATAGGGTTGTCCTGATTGTGTTTTGCATGTGTTTCTGCACTCAAGGCCACATTCTGTCCTCAACCCTAAAACTGTCACAATTCATTCAATAATATTTGAACTTTGAAGGGAATATAAACTTCAGACATCATCAGCTGTGTACAAATCCTTCAGAAAAAAGCATTTGTACACTATTTTTCCAATAGTGTCATATTTAAGTTTTAAAGCCGCAGAGAAAACGACACAAGTCTGCAAAAACTTTCCAATTTTGTGGTTTACCGAGCAATAATATGCTTATCAATACCATTTAGCCCAAGGAAAAAAGAAAAGGCATTTGCTGAGTGCAAAAAAGTATGCGTGCACTAGGACTTGGAAGCTCAATAATTAAAGCTATAGTCCATCATTTGCAGCCATCCGAAAAAGTAACTGGCGTATTATTGTTGAAAAACATACTTGGTTGAAAGATAGTAAGGGGACTAAACTCCCTATGAAACTAATCTTTCTGGTAAGCTATCATTTTGAAGTAATCAACGAAAGAAGGCCTTTCCAACGGTGCGTCTTAAGACGCACCGTAGGAAAATTTAAATTAGTAGTTTGTTTTGTTATTCGGCGCAGCGCGTGCAATCATTGGCACGACGCACAGGCGCGCGCGGTTGCTATAATTCGTCGGATCAGTGCGCGACATCGCGTATAGCTGCAATTCGAAACAATTCAAAACATGATTCAGCAACTTTTGATTTGAAATTGAGATCCTAGAATGCTGTTTTTCTCGGAATATACAGCTGAAGCTGAGCTGAAACTTCATCAGGTTAGTTGTTCAGTATCCTTCATTAGATTTTGAACACTTTTGTTGCTTCAAACGAACAAAATGCACAAATTACAAATGATGGACTATATCTTTAAGCCTAATCAACATGTCAACTAGCCATGCACAAAAAAGCAACAAATGTTGCAACTGTGCAAGTTGGCATGAGTATAAACAATGGGTAAACATTTGCCAGATTGTGACAAACGCGTCCATACTTACAGCAATGATGACGTTGGGCACATTGCCTTCTCTGGAGAATACTTCCAGTCTGCTGATGGTCTCTTCGTTTCCTACAATGTCAGTCAGAAGAGTTGGCCGATACTTCTCAACCCTGCAAACACAATCATATTTAATAATGAAAACGATGACAAATTGACGATGAATAATGGAATGAACAAGATAGCCGGTGAACAGTAGTTTGAGTGGGTGGGTTCTGCAACTGGATTTCCAGTTTGTAGGCACATACAATGTACACAAACATTGTTGTAACTGTTTCAGGCACTGCTCAATGTCTATTATTAACCCTCCCTACTGTCTTTTACTAAGTTCTGGATCACGTATGCCAAACTCCATCAATCACACTGCTCCCAATGCATGTTTTGACTGAGGCCTCAAAGCCCAAGTCCATCATAATCCATCAATATTAAGTCAAGCCGGGCCTGCACAACCAAGTCCCCCAAAATCCACCAAAATTGGGGCATACCGGCATGGATTTTGATGGAGTTGGGGAGGTTAGGGTTAAATGTCATTTCTAGAGGAAGTCTTCAGAACTGTATGTCTCCAAACATATTGCTAAATGTCTAGAAATCATACAGATGCCAGAAACCTAGGAATGTCACAATAAGAGTTTTCCAACGTTTCATAGTGAGCAGTCATGGCAGTTAACACGGTTGAACGTGTTTCCAAATTAAAAACAAAATGTTGCAAAACAAAGAGTCCATTTTGAAAAGTCAGATTCTTTCGTTGAGACTTTTTCTCTCAGGCATGTCAGGTGAAACTGGAATGGAAGTGTGTCCAGGATAGGGCTTAGGCATTAAACAATATGGACACTAGGACAGTGAGCAATATGTCGACCCCCCCCCCACCCCAACTTTAACTTGGTAAGACTGACAACTGAGGAAGAATGAACAGCGAAAATTACTACTGTAATAAATGCTAATTGCTATTGCTTTGTTTGTGTCTCCAGGGGGCAGGGGAAAAAAGGAAAATCAAATAGGGGCCCTAGGGCTAGGCCTAGGAGTAGGAATCGAATGAAGTCCAAGATTTATTGAGAAATTTCCAATTCAATTTGTAAGAAAATACTTAAAAGATTCACGACTCCCCATAGACTTATACACGATTGTAAACTAGTATTAATTATAGGAATTTCTCAAATTAATGAAAGGCCGTAGGCTTAGGCTGTAAAGTGTAAGTAACTCACCATGGCAATTCGTACTTGGATTTCTTACTCGATTTGTCAGCCGATGTCGACTGCTTTCCTTCGTTTATCGTGTCCGTCGCTTCTGTTTCCATACGCTCTTCTTTGTCCTCCATTTCAACGAACAATTAACACGATTCCTTGCGTTCTCATGTGAAATAGGCCTAATGTCAGTACTGAGTACTGTTTCTTATTTTCAAATTACTTGCACTTGCAGATTTAGTGCGCATTTGAATAGCAAGACAACATCATCTACGCCTGAACATCATTCCTCATATCAACGTGTTATACTTCAGCATGTTTCGCGCCACCAGAGGGTCACAGATCTTGCACGTATAACGGGCTATGTGATTGGTTCTTGTGTGCGCATTTCCCAAGATCAATCCAATAGACGTGAACGTTCTTACTCCATTGGAAGTACTCTACTTCATTCCCAGTGATCTACATGATTTTGCTGTTCGTGATGAAGCCAAAACTGTAACGAGGTTGATGTAAACAACCGCGCGTGTAGTACCCTCGCTCGTTTTAAGCGATCGATCACTCGGATCAGTAAATTGCAATTCAAGTGGTTCTTCCCCTCGAATCGCAGTAAGTTTTATGTATCGAAGATTGACTGAAGGACAACATATATTAAATAGTTTTAGTCTATCTTATTTTAAAATACCGTTTGGGAAGAAAAAGCTGATATGACCATGGAGCTATAGCTCCATGATATGACGAAGCTTAAGCTGTAGGCTAGCTCAGTGAAATTTTCAGTCACATTACACTAAATTACATTTCACACTCACAGGATTTACAATGCAGATGCAATGCACAGTTGCACACCTAACCTTTACACAGCTCACAGCCAGTACAAAAGCAGTAGTCAGGTAGTATACCCGAGTATATGGGGGTGGGGAGAGGGGGTGGGGGAGAGGGGGGAGAATTGCTAGTCTCGTTTTCATGTACCTAATTAACACAAATTTTAATACCTAAATTTTATTATTACAAATTTGCATGTACATAGGGGGGAGGAACTCCTTCCACCATTGTCCACAAATCAACCTGCCCCTATGGATCGTGCAGTAATTTGCATGCCTGCGTACTTGCAATCATTTTTAAAAAATTGTCAGTGACTTTTGTTACGTCAGACAACCTGAAAAATTGATGGTCATTCCCCTCAGGGTATTCTACTTTAAATGACGCGCACGCCGCTTCCATGCCAACGACCGGTCGATTGATATTACCTTCCAGCCATGCCAGCTGCATTCAATGATCATGGTAACCAAGGTCCTTGGATGATGGGGACGAGACCGGGCTTTCTAGCCTGAACATGCCCAAGAGCTTCTGGATGTCCATTTTGCAGGACGTGCTCCATGTTGTAGATTGGGGGAGGAAAGGAGTGCATGTGGACAGCACGTAGCTGCAAAGTAGCCGGCACAGTCTCCCGTTGCCGTTTACGAATGAATGCAAGTCAAGCATCTCAAACACCAGCCAACTACAAGCCTTGTACCGCTTACAGAGCCACTTCACTTTGTCTTTATGTTCATCAGTCTGGGTTTCTTGGAAGTGTGTTTCTGTGGGAGTGTGATTCTATGATTCTTCAAAAAGAGTGTTAAACTTGTCTAAATGACTATTGACAGCGGCACTGAGTATATCAGCTGGTCACTGATACTCATAACACTCTCCTCCAAAGCATGTAAAACGGCAGTTGTCACATTAATGCCCCGTCTTATTGTGGCCAGATTTTGAGCATAATTTTGTTGGCTCCGCCTCCACGAAGCATGGATTCTGCAATCATGCCATGGCATTTCATATTCGTTTCTCCACGTTTGATGTCCGGCAAGTATTCACAGGCCTCTTTCAAATCCACACCTTCTTTCTGTTTCAAGGACAGCGTGGAATAGTCCAGCTCCTTTCCCCGAGGCAAGACATTCCCGTGTCTCCTCCAAAGTCCAGCAGCCATGCTTTTCCTCTTTGTTACGGTGAAAGAGAAACCTCTCCAGGGTTCGTCTCAGCTCTGCACGGTGCTGGCATCGCAGTTTACCTTCATGGAATTCCATTTTCCTCTAAACCCTACGATATCTTTAACCTTGTCACTAACGGGAGACACAATTTGTCCCTCTTTTCGGCACGGAGGATTCTCCCTGGTGTTGGGCCTTGGGGAAGATTGGAATAATTTGATATTTGGTTGGAAAGTTATGGCCCTAGGCCCTACCCGCTAGGTTTTTATCATTTTATTTTCCTGGTAATATAACAATAATTTCATGTCAATCTTTCCAATCCTAGGTTTGTACTTTGAGTGAGTGCACATTGCGTGTATATGTGGATGCATCTGGAGCCATTTATAGACATCCGGAACTCTGATCAACTTGAAACACAGCCATGCCGAGGACCGCAAAAACCAAGACTGCTGCAGCAAAACCTCAAGCCAAGACAAAAGCCAAGACAAAAACCAAGACCAGTAACGCTGCAGCAAAACCGCAAGCCAAGAAAGGTTTGCCTATCTGACAGTATGAATTAATATGAGCTGTTGTGTAGAGAAAGGCAAAATTATGAAGAAGGATATTTTGATGAACAAGACGATCTGCCAAACCAACGTTTTCAGATGGAAGTTGTATTAACAGTGAAACTCTCTCTCTCACACAGGCTCTACTTCTGGAAGAAAACAGTCCAAAAAGTCCTCTGCTGATGTTGCTGAGATGTTGAAGACGTTGAATCAAAAGACCTCGGACACGTCTTCCCAGCAAAGCTCTTCAGGGCCGGTGACAAGACCGACCAGCAGAGGGCAAAAGACCAAAGCACCCAGGGGAAGTGACTCTACTACCAGCCCTAGGCAAGGGCAAACGACAGCTAGGGGAGGCAGGGGGAGGGGTGCAAGATCGAGACGAGGAGTGGCTGAGAGGACACAAGATGCAGCAGATGACTTGCAGGAAGATGTCAGAACAAACAGAGGCACTGCAGTGAAGAGACAACAAAAAATGAGGGGGAAAAACCAGGTGAGTATCTGATGTTTTGTGTGAGCTTTTCCATTGTCCGCAATAACCTTTGCGGCGTTGTAACCTCGCCCACAAAGAATAAATGCTGTGATCAAACTTTTATTTGTGTTTTAAATTGGGTGGGGTGCTGTGGTCCAATGGTTACGGTGTTCGACTCGTGTGCCGTGGTACATGGGCTCGAATCCTGACCGTGGGAACATGGTGCTTGTGCTCTTGAGCAAGGCACTTTACCATTATTGCTTTGTCCTTCGGATGGGACGTAAAGCCGTAGGTCCCGTGTGTTGTGTAATGCACGTTATGAACCCAGTAATACTTATCGCTAAGAGAAGGGTTTTGCCCTCAGAAGTTAAGGTCAAGCAACTTCACTATAATGGCAAGCTAATCTTGTCTACCAGAAAATGGGAACGTAATATCTGAATTTGATCATTAGTTCTAAATGAATGGAATTGCTTGTAAATCAGTTCCTGATACTAAGTATCATCATGACGTCATTAATCAGGATGTTTGTTGTTGCAAGGTTAAAATTAATCCCAAGTATCTTTAGGACATTTCATGAAGATGAAAAGCCAAACAAATGATCAATTCATGATCACACACGTACACTCATGAGGCCCCTTTAATGGCGAAAACTTTGCAGAAATAAATCCCTAATACCTTGGAGTATGCAGGTGCTGTGTTTTTTAAGTTGTGTCTTTTGCCAATTGCTGACACAGTAATGATGTTTTGCAGATTTGTAAAACCCATGGATTTACGTTCTGAAGTTCGCCAGAAATACTTTTTTTCTTTGTCTTCTAGGAAGCGATTCCCGTTGCAAGCAGAGAAGTTAGCCCTACTAAAAGGAGACGTCAAACAGGTATATCTCAATTTTTAAAAAAAAAACAGCTAGTTTGTATTTTTGAATATGCCAGTACGGTCTCTGTGTTTGTGACAACTTTTGAAAGCCCCAGTTGGACGGAAACATTGCGTGCGTGCACTGGCGCAAATTACGCACAACTTACCTTTTTCTGAATGGGTTCAGTCCCATGGCATCTTTGCGTGAGCGTCAGACGTTGTTGGCAATGTATTCAAATGTCCCTCCCAGTGTCATTTTGTATTACCATTGCATTGGTACTTGAATACGGTAGCATAGTGGAGTGTATGATGCAGTGCAGCATTTCGCTCGTACCCCCCACCCTGCAAACAAGACGCTGGGAAGGGCTGATGAATTTAAGCATTTAAGTCATCACGGCCACGACCCTGCAAGGTTTTAAACGGCCGTTAAGACCGAGTCATGCTCTTTAATTCCCATTCATAAATGCTTATTTTTCGTTGAAAAGCGTAATAATGTTGGAAAATCTGTAAAACTTACTTGTTTTGTAAACTTTCAGGCTTCAATTCGAATTCACAAAGAGTCAAATTGCATATAATGTGATGCTCAAATTTGTCCACATGGTCTGCAATGAAAAAGAAATCACATCCGGAATGGAATGTATTCATTTCTATGAGAAAGTTTTCGGATAGCATTTGCATGCATTAGCTAAATACAGTCTTAAACAGCTGCAGCTAGATGTCTTTGTGAAGGTCATGATAAGTTACCCAGAATGCTCTCCCCACTTCCTTTATAAGATTCTGTGAAGCTCATCAGCCCTGCCCAGTGCCCTGTTTGCAGGGGGGGGGTTACGAGCGAAGTGCAGCAATTGCTGATCGAGAGACCAAAACAGTGTCTAGCTTTCAGTTTGAGTACCTCAACTTGACTGCGGCATTTTCAAACACAGATCTGAGGAACATGTTAGATGACGACGACTACCTTGAGAGGCAAGTGTCAGCCCAGAGCATCGCCAAGTGGCAGACAATGACCAAGACGAGCCAAGAGTTCTTGAATCAGATCGCTGACGGTGCCATCAAGTAAGCTTCAATTGGTTTTTAATGTTGACTGTTTGGTGTGGTGTAGTAAAACGAGCCTCCCAAGGTGATCAATAGAGTATTGTGCAAAGGGAGGGTATAGTTTTACTGTTTCACAAGTTAACCGTAACCGCCCTGAATCCTTCAAAATCCTCTTTGCCAAAATGGAGGAATTTGGAGGATGGAGGTTACATGGCAAAAATGCGTTACTGATTTCGTAGGATGCACTGTGTCAAGGTCTTGGTCCGGACCTTGTGTTGTTTTTGCTCAGCCATGCAAAAATATAGGCCTGGATTATGTTTGAGATCCTCAGTTCAAACAAAATGTATTACCATCAGAGAAATATGATTTGTGCCTTACAACATGTACATTTCTTGACTCCTGCAGTGTCATTTTGAATGAGACAAGTGGTCCCGCCCACAACGACATCCAAGATCATCTGAACAACTTGAAAACAAGGTTTGAACTATTTCTAAACAGTATCAAATTTTAAGCCGGGATTAGTCAATTTGAATTCATCAGTTAGGGTCTTTTTTGAGATTTTTACATTTTGTTTCCAATACAGATGTGTGTGGTTGACTTGCTTTTGTAATAAGTAATATTTGTATGAAAGTTCAATAAACAGGAAATTAAAAACTTGCATGAGGTACAGTGAATATTTAAGAGTGACCAGTGCCAAGTTAAATTAAAACCAAGTTAAATTTCATCATTTTAATTCGCAGGCTTATGAAGAGCTTTGTATCACTCAAAGTTCCCAATAGAAGACAACCGAACTACCGAGAAATGGAGAAACAGGCTGTGAGTTCTATGCAGCGATTGATCTTATGATTAGGAGTGGAAAAGCATAATGCTCACTATAATGAAGAGCTAAAGGCACTTTAGAAGGCATTGTTAATATCCGGAAGCGGACGTTCCGATTTAATGAGAAAAGCCTTCTCAAGTGAAGATGGTTCCAAATACCCTGTGAAGGTATTCTACGGTATGATTTGTAAAAAGCAATCAGTGAAGGTGGGTTTTTAAAAAAGTGTGCCTGCAGGCAAACTTTTTAACATGCATTAGCAACGAAATTAAGTTTATACAAGACCCATAAATTGTGCCATGTTTTTTCTGTTTTCTCTAAATGTACAGCTCAAACTTCCACAGGTAGTTGTTATGCATCTTACTTAAGATTTTGAGCACTTTTGTTCTTCAAAAAAAATTGAAGTGCAAAAAGAATATGATCATATGCACCTTTAATATTAATAATAATAATACCGGAGTCTTATATAGCGCACGTTTCATCTACCAACAATTAGGTACTCAAGGCGCTGGTAATTATGTCTATTTCTAACGATGGGTTAATGAAAGTTATGAGCAATATGAGATCCATAATGTAGTACCTTATAAGGGTTTTACAAGGTGCTGCGGCGCATATAGCAGCCACTGCCAGAAACACCGGGGCAAACCCCTTCTCTTAATAGCGATAAGTGTTACTGGGTTCTTTAACGTGCATTACACAACACACGCGACCTACGGCTTTACGTTCCATCCGGAGGAACGAAGCAATTATGGTAAAGTGCCTTGCTCAAGAGCACAAGCACCATGTTTCCCGTCAGGATTCGAACCCATGTAGCATGGCACACAAGTCAAACACCGTAACCATTGGACCACAGCACCCCAAATTTAAGCTTAACTTTCCAAAAACCATTGATGTACTGGCCTTGAGGTATGCGTTTGTTCTTGTCTGCCTTTACAGCGGATATTGGAAGCAGGGCTGGTTGAGACCAGTAACCAGGTAGAATGTCTAGACAAAGAAGTGCAGCTACAGCAGGAGTAAGTAGAGAATTTTATCAAATTAGTGGATAAATTCTAAAGTTTGCGGGTAACACCATGTGGAAAGATATCTCTTCTTGGAAGAAGTGCGGTTCTGAAAAGAACCAGTTGGTTGAGTGTAGAACTGTACACTCAACCAACCGGTTCTTTTCAGAACCGCACTTCTTCCAAGAAGAGATATCTTTCCACATGGTGTTACCCGCAAACTTTATAATTGATCTCATCCGCCATGCAAAGCTTCAAGTCATATACAACTTAGTGGAATTATTTTTGTCAATCTTGGTTCCGTAAAGTGATTTTGTTCTCCATACATGTTGACTGCACAAATCTTACAACAGCATTGAAAATTCTCGCTTCTTTCCACATTCTAATAAATGTTATTCTTATTGTAACGTCGACCGGATCCTGGGTTTTCACACGCCAGACAGAGGAAACCACAGAGGCTATTCTTCAGGGTTTCGGGGCACTAGGCCATTTATTCTTGCCACTTTCTTTACACGAGGCTGTCTCTTTATACAACTCCCAACAAAAAGAACGTTATACAAAATGTCACACTACTGAGTCAGCGCAGTCCAGCAACGGGTCTCCCTGGCCAAGCAGCAGGGGCCCCAATGCTACGGCTGTACCGTGGGTCCATGCCGGCGCCCCCTGCTGGCGGCCGGGCACCGACGCTATATTATTGAGATATTGGCCTCATGTTTGTGTTCATTTTTTTATCAGACATGTAACATGGTTTCACTATCCACTCCGTTCACAAGTACCCCCTCACCGGCAAAGCAAGTACAGTTGGGGGTGACCGACCGACGCCATGTTGCCTGACTGCAATTCATTGCCGCGAAGCGCGGCCGCTGCATGTGCATAGTACAGATCCCCTTGTACATGCGTCACACACAAGGAACGGTGCTCGTCAACCAGTGAAACGTCCTGCCCATAGGACGTCATTGCTAGGTAAAAGGGCGCCCTCTTTCGTCGGCGCACGGAGCCCATATGTTGACTGGATTTTAAACTTAGGGGCATGTTCGGTCTCCAAGTTGTACAATAATTTTTCACTGCATGCATATTTGTACGTGTGCGGCTGGAACGCCCAGTGTGGCATAGGAGAAGCGCACGTGTTGCTGCTCAACGTGTACAGTGGGCAGGGATTAATGGATTTGCCTATCGTTGCCAACAGTAAGAAAATAAAGTGTTTCCGATGTAAATGGTGAATCTAGATGTTGCAATAAAGTAACTAAAAGTTTAAAAAAAAAAAAAGGTAAAGGAGACGAACCTGTGTTCACAGGAATGGAGTGCCCATCTCTCTTTCGAAGCAATTGGGCCAGACTCAGTGTAATGCTGCTGCTGTGGGGGGATCGCCACACCTCCTCCACAGCGAGTCTGTTACCTTCCCAGCATTGAATAATGCCGGTACCCATTTAACACCTGGGTTGAGAGAAGTAATTGAGGTACAGCGCCTTACTCAAGGGCACAACACGCATGGCCACGGTGGGGCTCGAACCCACAATTTTATGATCATGGGGTCTGTGCTCTACCGCAAGGCCACACATGCCCACAAATAAAGTAACTTGCACTCTAGAGAAAGACAAAGATTGTAGTACAAAGCTAATTTTTGTTCGGTGATTTTATCTTGTGGTTGAAACAGGTTACTTGAGCAGAAGGAGGAAGAATTGGACAAACTGGAAGCTGCGGAGCATCAAGATCACCATGACAACGATACAGAAAATATGAAGAAGGTAGGAAACTGAACATTGACTGCGTGCATAAGCAAGCCCTCTCTTGGTTACAAATGGAGAGTTGGGAGGGACTCAAATGCATTACCTGTATGCCTGGCACTGGCGTGAAGAAGATGCGGGTTTGTGTACAGGGTGAGTAAAAAAAACCAAACCCAAATGTCGGGACCATTGTTTTAGTGAAGTTCTGCATGTAGCACTTTAAAATCTAGGATATGAAAGCCCAATTCCTGAGCTTTCTTTTAGTACAAGAATCATTCCAATCACTCATGTACTTTTGAAGTTACAAAATTTTAAACACAACCGCCGTTTTAAGGTTCTGTCCACAGATCACAAAATAGTTGAGTGTTCTTTCAGCAAAAGGAAAATAAATCACATACGGATGTGTGTGAATTGTTTTCGTTTTGCTGAAAGAACGCACACCTTTTTAGTGATCCGTGGACAGAACTTTAAAACCGTGGTTGAGTTTAAAACTCTTGAAAAGTACATGAGTGACGTGAATGATTCTTGTACTAAAAGAAAGCTTATGAATTGGGCTTTCATTTCCTAGATTTTGAAAAAGCTACATGCAGAACTTCACTAAAACAATGGTCCCGACATTTTTTACTCACCCTGTATAAAGTGTATGTATTCTTCGCATCATCTGTGCATAAACCAGTGTATGCATGCAATGGGCTCCTGCATTTAAGTACCCCCTCAACGGTAAGAAAGGGAGAGTTGGGGGAGACCACTAGGAGAGACAGTTGAATGCATTGCCGATGATGACTGAAGCTAATGCGAAGATGCTACAGGTTGCGCACGAGTGTTCGCACGTGTTCTGTCCTGACCACTGGTTGTTATATTTGCACATGGGAGTCCATAAGTCTCGCCGATAGATTTTACACGAGTGGTCACGAAGTGCATGCCACCTTCTGTTTATACAGAGTCCATACGAAGAACAAGTATGGCGTAATTTGTGACAGTGCTTACGAACTAAGGAAAGAAACAGTTGTTGTTGGCTAAATTTCTGTGTAAAGCAACCAAGTCATTGGCACTACTTCAAACAGTAATTTGTACTCTAATTCATGGCTGGTACACGGACTGTCTCTTTTATAGCTCAATCCACTGCTGCAGGATACCAGGCAAGATGTCTTGGGATTACCACCTCTGAGGAAAAGTCGCCATGGCAACACATCAGCACAGGTAAACGATGCTATTTTATTTTTTCAGAATAAACTTTGACTTGTAATGACACTGAATGATATAAAGGTCATCTGGGGTCAATTGAGGTTATAACTCATAATGGAAAAAAATGAGCAAATGCTATTGTTATGTAGAAACATACTTCCAGGAGCCAATCGTTTCTTCTCGAAAATAAACAGCTTCTACAAGAAAACAAACACAAAACATATGGGGATCGACCCCGAAAAAAAATTGACACGTGCGATCAGCAGATCACCTTGTTCTACCTGAGCAGGCATTGTAGTCGAGCTGTCACAGATCACAATTCAAATCACAAGTCAGTCACCAGCATGTTCTCAAGTATCAAAGTGTTGAACTTTGACAAACGAATGCCTTCGTCCGAGTTTACTAGGAAAGCTTGTGACTGAGTGACTGAATGGCTTATGATTGACGTCTGATTGACTTGTCTTGCGAGGACTTAACTTCAACTCTACGTAAAGATCCACAAATCCTGAGTGAATTTTGTATTATTCTTTTCTTTTGTACAGTTTGAGGATGTAAGAAGTTCATGTCAGCAGCAAGTTGTTGAGTCATTGCGTCATTGGAGCCAGACGCAGGGTGAAGGAGGAGTCGTCGAGATGACAGAATTCTTGGATGCGGTGTCTGCAGTTCAAGCAGCACTACCTCAGTAGGAGTTTTTCTAACTCAAGATCCCTTGAACTTAAGGACTGAACTACAAAACAGTGGCCGACAAAATAAACTTACGTTGGTGTGGCAATATTTTTTTTATTGGTAATTCACGTTACAAGCAAAGGATATGGCAAAAATTTAGATACCTTGCATTTGAAAGTTTCCTCACACTGTGCACTGTTGGACAAATCTTTTCAGTGGCATTACATTATTAGGGTATAAGTCATATGCTGCCATAACAATCATTAAAACAAGTACCAAGTGGTACAACCCATGGCAGCCGGGTAGCAGCGAGGCCGGGTAACGTGTGAAGACGGCTATACGGCACTGTCCGTGCACCTGGGCCGTATCGGTACCTTGCGAGTACAGAATATGAAAAGGAATGGGGCGTGATCTAATATGCAAAAAAGTATGCAAATTAGACGCATGCGCAACAGTGTCTGCAAAACTGGTCTTCGAATTCAAAGCTGTAATACTTGCAAAGCTGTAATACTTGAGTTGTATGAATACAATTATATGGCCGAGTAAAGTGTCCTCCAACCAACCAACCCGCCCACCAACCAACCAACCAACCAACATTAGCAGCTCAAGCCCACGTCGTGTTTGACACCGCCGTGGGGAAAAAAGTCAAGCATGAAATTTCTACTGGTATATATTTCAGCTGTGTCCATACACTTTCTCATGGAATTGCCCTCAAGTAGATTTTCAACAGTTTGATTTTTGTTGGAGGCAAATAGCACAGCACCCAAACAGATGTTTAGGAAACCTTAACTTTAGTCTCATCATGCTAAACTTGGCCGCTGAAACTTGAGTTGGCTTTGTACACCAGAGAGTTGATTTGTCATCATGACAGTGCTTTTTTTCCCCCTTTTTAACAACCAAAGTTATGCTAAATAAATTTGACAGTTAATTATATGGTCGCGTGTAATTATGGTCGGCATGCATATTCCACATTACATTAAAAATATACATTTAAATATACATTTATATACTGGCAGTTGTACATGCGATTGGTAGGTAGCCAGTATTTGCCATAAATATCCGGAATGGATAAAAGTAGCATATAAACAGGTGACCTCAGAAGCCGGGGTTGTAATTATGCAAGTTCTGTAATTATTATGCAATAATGAACACAGACCATATAATACAGAGGCCGAAAGCTTAGAAATAACAGGGCCCAATTTCATGGCGCTGCTTATCAGTTTAGCAGAATAGCTGTGCTTACTATAGCAGAAAATTGTGATAAGCTTAAGCACTATTTCAAGGCATGGATAAGGTAACGGTTGCGCAAGCGTGGAGATTTCCATCGTTAAGTCACAATTGTTTCATCTGAGGTAAGCGTGCCTTTTGCTGTGCTTATTGCTTATGGTCTCCATGAAAATACCCAGAATCTCTGTTTGGTAAAATCGTGTCCTTATAGCAGTGCTATGAAATTGGGCCCAGGTCACCAGTCATAGTGACAAGAAACACACAATGTTTGTGCCTGGTTTTCACCTCCTTTTCTTAACACTAATGCGCCAATCAAATATTTCCCCCACCCCTCCCCTCCCGGGCTGCCCCACCCAAGACGTGGGGATTGTCACTTTTGAAGTGACAAAATCCCCACCCCTCGGGCAAAATTTAAGTGACAATCCCCGACCATGCCCCGACTTACATACGTGGGGCGCACTAGTGATTGCCTTGCCAATGTTAACAATGTAATTTGAGTGACTAAAATCCCCACCCTGGGGCATGAAAAACGTGACCAAATCCCAACATCGGACCTGGGGTAGCGTGGGGGGGGGGGGACATTTGATAGGTGCATAATAAGCCCATAATTTGCTAGCAATATTTTCTACTTGGCAGTTGTTTGTTTCCTTGTACCACTGCCATTTGCCTCCGAAAAAGGTCTTGTTAAAACTGCAACATCGGGCCAGCTAGGGCTGTCCTGAATATACCAAACATTTGAATATTCGATCATCGCCCATAAAATCATTTGTGGAGCGCATATTTTATCCGGCACGCTTTACGCCCAACCTTTGGCTGGCAGGGCACGCAGTTGCAGCTTGGGTGTGTAAACGTGTGTATCGAATATTCTGTTAAACACGTTTCGAATAATCAAATACTAAATAATTTGAAAATAGACAGCCCTATGTCAAGCCAGCTAATTTTGCTGATCTGTTTGGCAGTTATTGAAATTAGGCATGGATCATAGCAATCATACTGTATTTATTTTCTAGAAGTCTTCATGTAAATCCTTTCAACTCTTAAAAAATTCCAGATGTCAGTCTTTAGAATTTGCGACGTGATAACATTCTAGTGACGTGGGACCGGGACAGAAATACTGTTAGGCCCCAACTAGAGCGATGGCCCGAATATAGATGGGACAGTCCCAACTATAGTTGGGGAAGTCCCAAACATTTTCGGGTATATCACAACTATAGCTGGGATCGTCCTAACTATAGCTGGGTCGATGCTATACATGTAGTTGGGGCGTGACTGTACTGTCCAGTCGATAGAATTGATTCAAAACAGCTGTGTACATACAGCAATACAGAAACCCATTCATGAAAACATAAATCTACCCAATGGCAATTAGGGACCTTTTGAAATGATGCGAGTACGGGAGATGTAAATGGCTCTGATCAATATTGCTCATTAAATCACCTTTTTCGTTGTCATTTCATCCGGGACACCATCGGAAATTGGCATCTCACATCCAAACATGGAAATGAAGACCCATAAATGTGGGCCTGGTAAAATTACCACAAACGATAGTGATTTTTTCTGAGCCGCATTCATAATCTGCGCTCACATCATTTCTGATGGACCCTATTTTGTCTACATTCAAAATCAACTATTCCAGGATATTCCACCCACTTGAGGCGTGTTCAAGTTTTTTTGCAATAACAAGACTGCTTTACACAAATTCAGAATTTCGGGGTAATTACGATCAAGTACCAACTCGGGAGTCTTCGTAAATTTCCTGTCACACATGTTGCTTCCAATTTTTTTTTTTTAGCAGCTCATTTGTTGAACTTTGTTAATATGTACTGGCTTATAAAATGGTTTAATTAACTCCGCTTTTAGCATCGAATTTTCTATTTGGTGATTGCAATCAATATTCTACCCACGCAACTCTGACCATCTGTGCAACGAAACTGCAGTAATATATACATGTAGTGTGGCGTACCAGCAGGTTTTTCGTGCATGTGATTGCATGCTAATGCCTGAAATTCCCGTTTTTGTGTGTGCGTAACTAATTCTGGGATGAGTATCTGTAACTTCACACGTCATTAGTGTACATCCACTCGTTTTTATTGTAAATATGCATAGGCTTGACATTTGATATTGTAAATAAAATTGATCCATTTGGAAAAAATACTTCCGTTGGATATTTCCGCTGGATTTTTCGTCTCTGCTAATATATTTTCTCTCAAATTGAATTTTAATATGGTTGTTTTTTATATTGTGCTCATGGAATATATTGGGTTACAACTTGTGAGTATTAAGTTATATGGTGGCAATTCCGTAAAATTCAACGTACAAGGTCGTTAAGTTGGTGGTGCACTTCAGTTGGTCTTGTACCCAGACATCACATTATTAGTGATGTATCACATTCACTTTTCCAACAGCACGGCTCATTAAAGTGTCTGACATGTACGTCCAAATTTAAGACATTGCCCAGTAGCCAAACAAGAACCAAAAAACTTCAAGAACATTTTTAAGGATCACACTTACATGTATATGTAAGGGGTGCTGTGGTCCAATGGTTACGGTGTTCGACTTGTGTGCCGTGGTACATGGGTTTGAGTCCTGACCGTGGGAACATGGTGCTTGTGCTCTTGAGCAAGGCACTTTACCATTATTGCTTCGTCCTTCGGATGAAACGTAAAGCCGTAGGTCCCGTGTGTTGTGCAATAATATGCACGTTAAAGAACCCAGTAACACTTAACGCTAAGAGAAAGGGTTTGCCCCGGTGTTTCTGGCAGTGGCTGCAATATGCGCCGCAGCACCTTGTAAACCCTTATAAGGCGCTACATACAGTCGAATCTCGTTAGTACAAACTCTGTTAATACAAAATTCTGGTTGTAACAAACATAAAGTCTTAGTCCCGACTGTGCATTTATGTGCACAATGAATGGGACTGATGTTCCTCTTAATACAAAATTCTGATATAACAAACAATTTGGCTAGGTCCGAACAAGTTTGTATTAACGAGAGTCAACTGTAATGGGTCTCATATTTCTCATAAACTTTATTTACCTTTCTTTAATAATAGACATATCTCCAGTGCCTTGAGTACCTAATAGTTGGTAGATACATGCGCTATATAAGACTCCGATATTATTATTATTATTATGTACATGTATATGGGGGCAGCAAATGTGCTTTGAAGTCTTTTGTTACATGTATGCTATGCAAATTGGTAGTGAACATACATGTACATGTTTAGGCATGTTAGGCTTTATTTTTTTTTTCAGGGGGGGGGGTTCACAAAAGTTCCATGAATTAATGTACAAAAACAGAAGAAAAACAACAGTGTTCTTATAGTGTTCTTATTTTAAAAACTATTTCTTATTTAATGTCACACAATATATACATACTGAACATTTGTTACCAAAACTGTACATCAGGCAGCACAATTTTATTCCAAAATTTATATTACAAAAAAATACAAGATCAGACCTGACAGAAAAAAAAAAACCCTTCAAACAAAATGAAGAAAATGTACACTTGGTGAGATTGCCCTCAATTTGGAAAGCTACAAATGTCTCCTATACATTCATATTGGTGTCAGATGAAATGCAAAAGCTTGCCTTAAGTTGAACAAACTCTGCAAAATTTTAAGAGGCTTGACCTTGGAGAACCAGTAGATTTTACAGAAAAGGTTAACCTCGTTGGCCAGCGGAAAAGAGATTTGTCCGGCTGATAACAGCAAAACCACAGGAAGTGGCTGACACAATTATTTTAATGTCGACTCCTTTACAAAGTGACCTTTTAACAAAATAACAGAACCATACTCTACAATGTACATGCACAGACGGCCATGAAAGATCATTTTTAGTTCTCTTTAATTTGTGTACTTAATTCAATTTCTACAGCTACCGGTACCCTTTCTGGTTAGAAAATATCTAATGTAATTACTCTTTCAAAATGATGTTCAACTCTGCAAGCAAATAATACATATTGCTGTTAATTTAATTGACATTTAACAACATGGGTGTCCGTGAGGTGTCAATGGGGGGGGGTGGGCAAATGTCCCCCTGCCCACCCTCGAAAAAAATGACAACTTGAGAATATGCTAGAGAAAGTACAATGTACAAGGATTTTGACAGCTTTGCCCGCCTCTCGAAAAAAGTCCAAGCGACACCCATGCTTATTATAACATGTAGAAACTAAAAAAACATGACAAAGTTTCCCAATAGCAAAAACATGATTTATGTATGGTGGACTGTTAGTTTGTAGAGAGTATTGGCAAAACTGCAAACTAGCGAAAGCTGCCCCATCTGTTTTTGTTCGTCAACTTTAATTGAA